TACTTTCTTCCCCTTATACTTTCAGTTAACTATCTCCAGTACCTCATACCAAATAATGTATGCCTTGAAATATGTTACCCTTCAGAGGAATTTCTGCGAGTCTTTTCATTGCTGCCAATTAACTTTGGCAGCAGTAACTGCTTTTTCATATTTCTTGAAGAACAAATTGTATTTTCTTTTGATTTCAATAGATGATATGATTATTTTTTTTGCTAGTAGAATAACTCATGGGTTGAAGCATTGATTTCAAATTGTATTCCCAAAAACTGAAGAATAAATCGATGGAAAGATGAACAACCTAAGGCTCTTGCTGTCATTCTATCAGCAACATCCTTTAGTTTTTCCACACTGTTGTGAATGGCTTGAATTTGCAGGCGGCTGGTTTGAAAACTGGCTTGTGTATCCATAGGGACTAGTTCCTATGAGACAAACACAAAAATATATAGAAAAATATTGCATGGAATTTCCCTAGATTTTATAAAATTTTATTCAAAGAAAAAGGATAATCAGCTCTTTATACAATTGTAACTCAAATTTGAGCAAAAAAATTAAAAAACAAAAACAAAAAAAAGGAAAAACACCAGTATTTGACTCCTAACAGTGACCAAGTAAATGTTTCTCCTGAACAATACCAATATATTCTCAGGCAGAAAGGTGATGAGAAAATAGCAAAACATCACCTGACCAAGAGATATTTGATCTGCCACTTATTTGTCAGGGCTAAAATTATATTGAATGTAGAGCAGAAAGTAAAAAGAATTTATACATGTCTTGTAATTTATTACCTTTGCTTTGGAGGCAAGAGGACTAGTCATGAATTCATCTGGCATCGATTTATACTGATCCTTCAACTTCTGACCAATGTCCTGGGAGAAATAGCACACATATCCTTAACAACACATACCACGATCTTTATAATGTGCATGGAAAAAATTGTGCGCTTCTGATCGGCTGACAACAAGTGCATTCTCATGTAACAGAGTTGTAACATGAGTGCTCATGGAGTTGCGTGGTATGATACAGTCTTTGTTTGGTAAACAATAGCATAAACATAATGGGAAACAACAGAAACAGATGGATGCCACCATCACAAATCCCAAGCTCTGCTGGAAAGGTGTATTCCAATAGAATTCAACAGGACAACTTACCGAGCCCTTGACTGTAAGGAAAAAGTTCACAATCCTGTCCTCGCAAAGTACGGGATGCCTCACAACAAGAGTCAGAAAACGTTTCAAGGATCTTTTCCTGGCCTCAATGAACTCTTTGCTGGCTGCAAATAGATGAACAAATAGGGTTTCTGGTAGCCAGCTTAAATGGCCACTAATAATAAAATAATCCAAAGTTAAATATCAGAGGAATTATTAATTAAGTGTCAAAAGTAATAAAGGATTCAATTGATTTTGTTGTACTTTTCTAGGTTACTGGTCAAGAAAACTCAAGCCACTTTCTCAGTGAATTGGATGCAAAACTTGTATTAAAACAACCTTGGTCACTCACACTGCCCTGTTCTTTGAGCAGTTGGCTCGTTTTCACATTGGCTCCTAGTTATATCTTCCTATGTTTTAATTGGCCTTGCTGTTAACCTTGGGTTTGGTTTTTGGACACCCAATTGAAAGTTTAGGGAATTTAACTCAGGACAACCCTATGCCCTCTCCCCTCCACCCCCCACTCACCCCTGGAGGAAAAAAAAAATTTCATCTAGTAGCCTGCACTCCAGACTCTCAGATTGTGATACACTGACCGCTTGACTTTTCTGGACTTCTGAATTGTAGGTCTTACAGGCTGACCACTCTTAACTTCTCAAAAACTTGTGACTTCCAAGTTGTGTTTAAAGAGCTGAACAAATGACCACCATGGATCTCTGATGCGGGAGTCTGATGGGCTTAAACCATCTGTTCACTTAGGAGCTCTGATTGAAGAGCCGGATAGACTGACCAAGAATGTGGTCTATTGGAAGGACAACTTGGTCCTCTGTTGGTCCTCTGCTATCCCTCCCCCCAAGCAAACTACCAAGCTTTACCAAAAATTGTATGTCTGGACAAGACATCTTTTACAATGGTCCAGCTAGCATAACTCAGAGTTTATTGCTCCAAATATAATTTTATCATTTAATTTCTTAATTCAAACATACCTCCCATAAGCTTCTTTGGAGGAAGTGTCGGAATGAGACGGTATGGGAACCTTGCTAGTAACATGTCATGGAAGGCAACAAAGTCGTTGTAGCGACGATTTACAGTACAGTTATGTTTCTGAAAAGATGAACAGAGAAAAAAGTATTTATCTAACTTCATTTGTTAAGTGACTTGTCATAAACATTACGAAAGAAAACACGCCAGATTATAACTAGCAAAAACATGTCACCTCTTACTTATTTTATTAGCTATTGCTCAATCTATTTGGGTGCTTGGCAAAACAGCCCTTGATTGCAGCTTTCAGAGATGTCAATTAAAGCAGTTGACGGGTGGTCTTCCTCTTTTTTTAAGACCAGTCATCACCATCTGCACAGCCTGCAGGCACTCTTTTTGATGCCCAGAATGCTAGAAGTTACATTTGCAAGCTTCTTATTTCAAATTTTTCCCTGACAAGAATAATCTTGAAGATTATTCTTAGTTTTATTTGCCTGAGTAGTTTGCCTTTAAGTGACTGTTAAATACAAGTAAAAGAGAATAGAAACAGGCTATTGGGACTCACTCAGAGGTGATGGCCACTGCTTCATAGAGGTGACTACTTATAAGAGGTGGAAATTAGAGTGATTAACCCTTTAACTCCCAAGATCTGATTGTTAATTCTGCCCTGTACCTGCCACACATTTCCTTGTAAATTAGTTATGAGAACTTGGTGCTACATCATGATAGCAGCTTCTACCTGATAAGTTTGAATATTCTCATTACCTGTTTGCTGAAGAATGTATGGATATTGTAGGGAGAAGTTTTATGCTGATCACTTCTGGGAGTTAAAGGGTTAAGGGGAAACACAAGAAAAATTACAGTGATTAAGGGGAAACACACTGGGGACTTTGACAACCAACCACTTGATACAGGGTGACCAACTAATACAGTGCCCCTTAATACAGGATTGATTGTATATTTTTTTATTATTTGATCTCACCTTGCTAGAAACATGATATTCATTGTGCTTTAAAAGAATTCCTTTCTTTTCTGGTACAAGCTCTACATCTACTGTGTCCAAACTCACAAGTTCATCATAGTTATAACCCAAAACATTTGGGTTGTTTTCACGCCTTTGACGCACACTCAGACTTTTCAGATCTGACAGGTCCCCCAAAGAAGGCTTTGGCAATTCTGTGATACATTAATAACAGTCATTATAAACAAATATCAATTAAAGTAGAAAGTTTCAAAGTTGGTTAGTTTCAAAGGTACTCATGATCAATTGTTCAGCCTTCAGCCCTACTTGGCCTTAAAGATTGAGTCATTATTGGAAAAGGTTTTTACCAAATGTGTTATGACTGATATTTCTTTTACACTGAAGAATTGTTTTTTCAAAACTCTGCCATGGGAAATTGTCAAATAACCATACCTGAATCTACAAATTGCTCTAATACTCTCTCTGATATAATTTTTCCCTGTTGTGCTAAAGCAGTTAAGGCCAGTGCCTTGTATAATCCATCTCTTGTAACATATCCATCTTGCCTTGGATCAACAGCTTCCCAAATCTGAACCAAAAGAAAAAAAGACTCAATGGACTTATAACAATGAAAAGTATAATTATTTCATTTTCTTTTTTGTAGGTTCAGAAGAGGCTAGAGGAAAGTGGAATTAGTTGAAATGCAAAAGATGAGATTTCAGTAACTTGAAGTGCAATTCAAAAGATCCAGCAATCAATCAATCAGTTGATCAATCAATCAATCAATTAAATTAGAATGTTATTTAATTAATCAATCAGTAAAGAATATTATTACTAGTAAAGGTACACTTATTATTTTTGCCCATTGGGGCTGGACTTACTAAAGATTATTATAATATGCTAAGATCTAAGGAATAATAGATTTTTCCTCTTGGAATAGGTACATCACTGACTGATTTTATCCGGGGTTTGTAAAGACCAAGGATGTAAAATACAATAGCCTGTCCCTTGGGATCCCACTCTTCAGCTAATACAAAAGTTAGCATAAACAGAACAACTTGCAATAAAAAAAAAATATCAATTTACAAGGATCCTATGCAGGATGTATTGTAATTATTATATAAGAAACAGCTGATCGACTAGATGCTCATATTACGAGATGGCTGATTAAATAAATTTCATGGATATTAGATCCAAGTTTAGAGAGCTAGTAAATTAATTACACCTCGTGTTGTACTGCGTGACCCAAACCGACACACGAACACAAAGATCACAAACAAACGAGGAAGACAAAAATTCTGCTCTCATCTGACGATCTTTGATCCAACTGGGTATGACAAAGCCCTTAATGAGCAGGGTGAAGCAAGTCGCGATTTTTAATAGTAATATATCAAAAGTACAACTACCAGGGCACAAAACGCAAAACGTAAATAAATGGTGACCGATGTTACGTTAGGTTTACTTAAAAGCTAAGACGAACGCCTCTCCTGCTATTATTTGCATTCATAAAGAACGAAATAAACAAGCGAAATACGTCTCATACTTTACCTGACTTAACGATTGTTTGGGTAGGCTTGATTTCATTAAGATCTTCACAAACATATCACGCTCGATCCTCTCTTCTTGATTGGGACATACTATCTGATAAACCTCGCGATAAAACGAGGGAACCGAACCTGCAGATTTATCCACACATAAATTTTTATGCAGGTACTTACAAAATCAAGGAAAATTTTCAAACTGAAAACGCTTCGAAAGTCAAAGAAAAAAAAAGTAACGAAAGTAAGGTTAACTATAACTCTTCCTCACCAAAACTCAGTGCTGTCGCCATGTTCCCTTGAGTACCAAACATGCATCGCGCGCCTCCCACTACTCCCCCCTTGTAACTCACGTGGCCTCAAAGTTATTCCAAGATGGCGGAGGCGGTGCTGGAGAGTGACATTGCTTGCCTTGATCACTATGATTACTTTTTCCGTCCGAACATTCTCCAGGGGAAGGTGGCGTTTATCACGGGAGGTGGTTCTGGTATTGGATTTACTATTACTGAAGTTCTGATGAGGTAGGGCGATGATTATACCCCGCCAATTTTCCCCTCACCCCTCACGCCCTTCACTGACCAATTTTCTGAGGGGACCTGCTAATTCCAACACAGTCACCTTTCTTAGGGGGCACTAAGACAGCCTATAATTAACGTTTGATGCCTGAGATGATTCCAGTTTCTACCAATCTCCTGCTCAAACTACAAATAGAAAGCCAGAAAATGACTTAGGTGCTTCTCATTTCCATTTAATTCTTTCATTGTTGTTAGACACAGCTGCTCTGCTGTAATAGTGGGTCGGAAGTTTGACAGACTCAAAAAGGTAATAAATTGAAAAGAGGTCTTCAAAGTAACCGTTCTAGTAATCATTACAAAGCAGTATAAGGATAAATTTTGACAGGCCCCTATTCAAACCAGCTTACAGCTGAGCTGGGCCAGTTTGGTTAAATATTGCCGAGAATGAAATAAATTAAACTTAAATCAATGTCAAAGTTCATAGAGAGATGTCTAAGGCGACTATCGTTTGTCAGCGGCTCCCCACTGTAGTAGCAACTGTAGTGCTCCAAGCTGCAAAAGTTTGGCCACCATGCTGAAGAGAAAAAAAAATTTTGGTTGGATGTGTTTTGTAGTAAAGTTCCCAAAGTGAAGAGGGTCAAACATTTGCATAAAACATATTATTTCACAAAATGTCATTTCCTTTTTCTTTTTTTCCTTCTCTTTTCATTTTTCTGGTGAGTACAATTTTATTTCTGGCCAGCATTTCATGATTCTAGGTCACTAAATGGTGACTTGAGTTGGTACACTTAAGTTTGAGTTCTAGACTGGTATGTTTTGGGAACATGACAACACTGATACTGGGACAATGTGTGACTCACAGGGGTAGCAATAGGCTTTAGTTTGGAATCTTGACTTCTTTGATGTAGTTATGGGTTTCTTTACCACAGTCAGCATGACAACTATAAAATACCTTGCTTAATATTTTCATCATTCTTTTTGTGAACAAATTTAGGCAGCTAAGAAACTGGAAGATGTGACAGGACAGAAATGTCTCCCAGTAAAGGTTGATGTGAGAAAGGTGCAGTAAATGGAAACATCTTCATTCATGATTATTTCTAGAGGTTACAAATTGCTCTCACTGACAATTTTAAAAAGTTTTCTCAGAGTAAAAATATGTTCAGGCCTTAAATCTGTTTTGTTGTTGTGACATAAATTGATTAAGAAATAATCAGGGTGCCAAATAGCATGTAAACTTTGCATATTTTAATATTAAGCCATTTTTCTGTATCCTAACTGTGCAAAGAAACTTACTACATACTCTGATTCAGTAAATGGTTTGAAGCTAGAAGCAGACTGTGCTAATGATTGAGCAATTGCTAATTCCAATGTTAGTCTTCACAGTTGTGTATTTGTACTACCACAGAATATTGTTGTTCATCAAATATGTTGTTCCAGAAAATACCCATACCTACTCCTCTAGAATTTCTGGAGAGGGCTTGGTGGGGGCTTCAAACAAATGTCCCCTCCTTGGCTGTGGTGAGGCAATTTTATACTTCTCATTTATCATAGTGTTTTAAGTTCTATTTGTTGATCACCAGGTGAATGAAGTTGATGCTGCCGTAGACATGGCACTGAAACATTTCTCAAAAATAGATATTTTAGTTAATAGTAAGTATCAACTGTAAGAATGGAGGAAGAATCATATTATCATGTTGCATCCAAGCCAAATCAGTTCAAGTTTGCGTCAAATCTGAGTCACAGACACCAATGGAAAAATAGACTTTAAAGTTTTTAGTTATATTTTACCAAATGAGTGGACTAAGATAAATCCCTTCTTTTCAATGAAGTTCATTATGTGAGTTAAAAAACCACCAAAATAAAGATTGATGTTAAGTGCACTGCATGGAACTCTGAGTTTTGCCCAGCACACTAACACTCTTTACTCTGATTTTTTTTCTACTCACATGTAGTACTTTGCTGAAAAGGAGAGACTGCTTGTAGCTACCAAATGAGTGACCTAAAATGGATATTTCCTTATATTATCAGAATTCATATTCTCCATACTGTTCTCTGTACATTTACTAAGGTGCTGACACAGAAAATTTGTCCAACAATCAAGAGTTTCTTTAGTTGGTGATCATTTTCTTTATTCTCATGACATGAGTGTGTGATTCAGTGGTGATATTGTAGGGAGCAATTGGATGCTCATCACTCCTAAGGGTTAAAAGTTTAAGTCCAAAAATTAAAAATTAGGTTAGACATTAAAATCCACCAAAGTTCTGAACAAAGCACAGAAGTCTCGTTCCAATTTGTTTCCCTTTAGGTGCAGCAGGAAATTTTCTATGCCCTGCAAGCCAGCTTTCATACAATGGATTGAAAACAGGTGAGCATTAAAAATGACTTGATTAGTTTTTAATTTTTAGTGAGAGCTGATTTTGTATGTTGTTCTCTTGTTTGATCCCCAGTAGAGGACTGTTGTCTGTGGAAGTAAATGGATCAGATGCTTTTTTTTTCCACAACCTGAGTGGAAGTTATACTCTGATCATTTACCTCTGATAATGAATTCCACTCAGATTGTCCAAGCACTGTGCAGTCAGTTCACTGAAAACTATCCTCTTCAGGGATAGACAACCAACTTGACAGATTACATGATGGAATTATTGAGTTTTTTTGCCAATAATGTTCTGTAATAGTTTATTATTTACAATTTTTTTGTGATAATGTTATAGTTTTTGACATTGATACTTTTGGAACCTTCAATGTGAGTAAAGCTGTGTATAACAAATGTTTTAAGGTAAGATTGTTTCTTTAATTAACTGGAGGCAACACTTTTTATCTAGAAGTATGATTTTACCTTTAGTATTCAATACCAGCTGTGTTTACATCCTTAATTGATGAATAAGCATGTCTACTCATTAGAAACACTGACAGTAAAATTTGAAATAACAGTGCAATTAATAATAAGCTTGAACCAATCTGCAGATTTTACTCAGTTTGGATCTGGGTCATTTTTTACCCATTTTAGTAGAAGGATTAAAAAAAAGGTTACCTTGATAGCCACAGCCAGCCAGTGCTTGTAAACAAGAAATTGATGGAAGACTTAGTTAATTGTGATATTACTTGGAAACTCAGAAAACTCCAAAAAAACAATTTTGGTTGTTAGATTTTGATTTTTAGGTTTACTTCGATGGGCTGAACTTGAATGTGACTTGTGGGTGCAGAACTGACTTGTTAAGAATCAAATCAAATTCATTTGGCTCTCAGCAACAGAGTAATTATTGTGGCTTGCGTTAGGAAATAAGAAATCCCAGAGCAGCATGCTTCACTGAAATTTTTCATGAGGTAGAATCTACCAAGTAAATTGGTATTTCTTTTGTATTTGCACTGTCACCAATGAAATTTATAGTGCCTGGAAATACTATTTTTAGAATAATGGCAGTGGTAACATCATCAACATCACAGCCACACTTCATCACAATGGACACCCTTTGCAGGTCTGTAGTAATTGTATGCAAAAAAGCTTTGTCAGCTGCATAACAGGAACAGGTAGATTCATGGTCAACTGTTTGGAGTATGACCCTCACACAATTTACCTATTTCAACTGCAGTGGAACCTCCATTCAGGGGACACCCAGGGACCAGGGCAAGTGTCCCCTAAAAAGAGGTTGGAGTTTGGTAATAATTTGCCATAAAAAAATCATCATCTGCATTATCCAATAGCAAAAAAATCTCTGTCATCAAATGATGTGTGTTGTTAAAAAGGTCATATTGTGAAAGCTGTCATCATTGTGATTAGTGTACACTTAATCTTTGGGGTCAGTCACATTTTTATTGGTTGAGGTGTCCCCTGAATGGGTGTTAAATCAGGCTTTAGGACCCAGAAAAAGTGTTCTAATCCCCTGAATAGAGGAGTCTCTTCAAAAGAGGTAATGGATACCAAGATATTATTGAACATTTTTCTGGGACCAAAGTTTGTGTTCCCTGAATGGGGTACTTCCATTACTCTGGTCTGAGTATCAGAAAATTTGTCTTATGCTCTACAACTCATTACTTCTATTTTTAGCACTGAGAAACTTGGTGTTAACTGAAATCAAACAGTATCTCCCAGTAGATATTTTTCTTTCTTTTCATTACCTTTTTGCATGAAAATGTATCAATCTTGTGAGGAGAAATTCCCTTTTGGTCAATTTGGAAAATGAAAGGATTGTAATTTTGAGGAAGCATTTTAAATTAATTTTTTTCTCAATTAGTGTCATGCTGGAGGTGCAAAAGCTGCAATTGGTGAGTTCACATGATTACATTATTGTAAACATTTATGTCAATAAACAAAGAACCTTTTTCATACTATTCAAGTACTGTTAATCCTTTGTCTTTAAATAAAGTTCTGAGTTGCACAATTTATTACTGTAACTGCTGTTTAGAGAATAATTTCCTTCTCCACCTTATACGTTAATTTATCATGCAGAGAAATTTGTTTAGTCAAATTTTTATGGTCAGGACTCAAACAAATCCCTGCCATTAACCATTTTACTTCCCTAAGTGGCCAAGACAAAATTTTGCCTTACGATATCAGTACAATCTCATGAAGAAGATTAAGAAACAGTAATGACAAAAAGTATCAATAAGGGGAATATCAGTTGATCCAGTATTAAATTCTCTGAACCAACATCATGAGACTTGTATGGCAGACAGTAAGGAAAATTACGGCTAATGAGATCTGGCAGTCAGAGAGGGTTCAGCAGGGCTAGGATTTCAGATGTTTTCTCATACCCTTTAATCCCTGATAATCTGTTTCTTATCTCTTTATCAGAGGGTATGTCAAGACATCTCGCTGTTGAATGGGGCCCAGATGGTGTGAGGGTAAACTGTGTTGCACCTGGTGCTGTGAAGGACACAGAGGGTTTCTGTAGACTAGGTAACAAATTACAGAGAATTTACAGTTGGAAATAGAATCTGCATATTTTACCTGCACCTAATTTAAGTTTCATATCATATACTTTTCATAAGCTTAGAACAGAACAGAGGCCTGGATTGCAACTGTTTTGATTGCTATGGTGAACAGAAACAATTTTAGCATCCAAAGTTTCAGCAAAAGCAACCTGTGTTTGGCAGACATGTGGAAAGCTTTTAATCAACATTGTTATAATAGGTTTTAAGAGTCTAAAGTTAGGCTGAGATAAACATTTTATTGCTTAAAATGAAATGAATTTTGGATATGTACAATTATTTAAAGAATTAATACTTTTCCTGGCTGAAAGCTGGTCTAAAGATTTTTCATACTCAATGTTTAACATTTAATTTACCTTAATCCCTGTTCCACTTACAAGGTAGTGCACTTCACAATTTTCTTTCACTTTAAGTCTGAAGGAAGCTTTAACTGTACTACATCTTCACAGGTGGCAAACATCTCCCACCAAACTTCATTGAGAATGTACCTTTACAAAGACTGGTTTCTCGCCAAGATGTGGCAGATAGTGTACTCTTCCTGGCGAGTGGTGCTTCAGCTTTTATCACAGCAAACACACTGGTGGTAGACGGTGGTAGTAGGATTACAAATTCTGTTTCCATGACCACAATGAACAAGGCAATTAGCAAGCTGTGATCTGTGAGAATCATGTGTCCAATTAAGTTGTAGCTGATGGGCACTTGTGCAAATCCCAATTACATGCTAATTTTTTTAGGCTCATTTTTTCTGTAGTTTCTTTTATTTCAGTTAATCTTAACCCTTTGCACCCTAACACAATTTCCTTTATTCTCATGATCTAAATGAATGATTCAGCAGTATTACAGTAGGGAGAAATTAGACACTGGTCACTCCAAGGGTTTTAAGGGTTAAAATAACACTTCATCACTTGTGGAATATTTGCAGGTCAAAATACAATATAGTATAAACTTGGAAATGTGGAACTTGAATGACAGTGGTGGGAACATTACTTGTTGCCAATAGGCCTTGGCTGATTCATATAAAGTTTCTTAGGAGAAAAATTTTTTAATATGTTTTATCACTGTGATTACGATTTTTCTTGGGCTTTTTACATAGCATGAAAGTCCCATCATCTTGAAGCTGCATGATACCAACACAATTCCCTTTACTTGATGATATACCTGCAAATTGCTTAAAATTTATTGTTTTTTGGTTTTTTTTTGTTAATCAAAAGTACAAGATAATTGATTTTGTTGGGCATCTTTAATTTCTTATCAAGAACCTGAAGTCTTGCATCAACACTAAGAAAATGTCAAAAGATGTCCTCTTTAGTACCTTTCCATCTTAGGTTGGAAGTATTCAGGGAAAGTATGGTCATTCAATGATAATTTTCTCTTCTCAGACTCATTCAAGTTTTGGTAACTTCAAGTCAAATTTGTGAAATAGCATTGAGTTTATTAGCCAAGGATGAAAAACTGTGTGATACCGGTAGTTAGCAGGTGTATTGGAACAGATTCATGATTGATGTCTGCTCATGGCTGGCAAATTTTGTTAAGTGGATATAGAATAAAGTGATATAAATTAAATAAAATTGATTTTTGAAAATAAGCAGCTGATGATTGCATTGATTGACTGATCTTAACAGACCCTTTCTTTGACCTGATTTTAATAGCTATTAAGCTAGAAAAGGTTTTTGCAAACACCCATTCCCATTTTTCTATATTTCTTCCTACAGTTAAGGGAGGACAAACGTTGCAGCATCTTATCAAGATTAATGCATTGACTTTAGTAACAATAGATATTGTTCTCAGCCTTGAAGAAAATAACTAACCAATTGAAAGAAATATCATTCAGTGATACTCTTAAATGTGAGACCAGACATCACAGAGTTCCATAAAAGCAGAAAATTTAAATGTTCAGCAACTCCCCCCCAAGGAATTAAGGGGATCCATTTTGCTACAGCACCAGTAAGTACGCTAAGATGGAATGTAGAGGTGATCAAAGGTCACATCTGCATTTCACTGCTTGATATCGTTCCTTGCCTTTTGAGGTTTGGTATGGACTGGACAGCTCTGAAATACTGGACAAATCAATGCACTATATGTTGCTTGTTCACAGATGCCTCTTAAGCAAATTTAAGTCTTGAAACATTAATAGTCTATTAGCTAGGTCACAGGTCACTAATGACTTTGCCAAGTCTTCTTTTTTTGAAATTATTCAAAATTTGCACTACATCATTTAAAATCTAGTTTGAAATTGGATCTTTATCATCTGTGAATGGATTTGTAAGACACTGCTAGATTTTATCAGTGATAAGAGTGGGCTTGCATGGCAACAATCTCCTAGGAACAAAATGTAAAATTTCACAAAAGTTGCTCTTTTTCTGCATTTATTAAGTCACTCCTTTCATTTATATGGGAAATTTCAACCACTTTCATACTACTTAAGATGGCATACAGTAGTATTTAAACCCTAAGCATTAGTGTTAAATTGAAATCAATAGTTCTCACTGTTTTTGTCCTACAACAAAAAGTTAATATTAGATCACAGTAAAAATCTTACTTAGCAAATAGCTAGTTTTACCAACCTAGAGAGGAAGGAAATTAAACAGATCTTGATTTTGAGTTAAATTTTATTAAAAAAAAAATATGTTAAGCTTGTCACACTGATCTATACAAGACAATTATTAATCCACCTAACAAAAATTGAAAGTAATTTCCATTTACTTACAGGTTTTTAACTAGGATTTATAAAATTCTGTGAGTATCTTAAACATTGTGATGAAAGAATAGGCTGAATTTTGTAAATTATACCAAGAAATATAGAAAAGTTAGGTGTTAAAGCCTTTAACTCCCAGAAGTGATTAACGTGTAACTTCTCCCTATATTCATAATTTATCCAGGAAAAAGGTAGTGACAATACTCAAACTTATCAGGTACAAGATACTTCAAGACCTTCATCAAACACCAAATTCTCATAACCAACTTACAAGGAAATGTGTAGCGGCTAGAGGGGAGAATTCACAACCAGATCTTGGGAGTTAAAGGGTGAAGCCTTTTCTCTAGGTAAGCCTGCAAATACAGATGTGTTTTTGTACTGTTTCTCTCCACCCAAGCTGAGAGGAGTAACAGCCATTCCTAGCCCAGCTGAGGTTAGTTAGTCATTGAAACTAAATGCATACCCATCTGTGCTGTAGTATAACACCTTTTGATGTTTTCTAAAAGCCAAGTTATTCTTTCAGAGTAAAATGCATTGTAGTGTGGGAACTCTAAAGGACACATGCTGTTTCCACATGATCTCAAAAACTGAATCTCTAATATGATACATACAGCCTTGCCATAATATCATTGTGGGAAGGTCCTGCCAGGGGAGGCATGCCCTCAAATGACTTATCAGTCCTATTCTTGATAGGCAGATCCTAGGACATCAGGGGCACAAGAAGGAAGCTGGTCCTGTTGGATCCTGCTCTCGTGCTTCCTTTTGTCATATCCTCCTCTCTTCTACCACTTCTCGTCTTGTGATCTCAAAATCTTGTGCTGCTCTTCTTGTTGTTAGTCACCATGCTGCATGGTTTTCTGCAAGCTGTTCCCAATGTTTGGGGTTGATGCCAGCCTGAGTCAATTTGCCCTTCAGTTAGTCTTTCCAGCATTTTCTTGGAACCCCTCTGTCTCGTTTTCCATCTGATAGCTCCTTTGGGATTCATGTATCAGGCATACAGGAGACATGGCCAGACCATCATTGTCTCAGCATGAACGTGGCCTCCATACTGGGAAGATTGGCTTTTTCCAGGACTTCATTGTTGGTTCTGTAGTCCTGCTATCTAATGTTCATGATGGAGAAAAGGCAGCATTGCTGTTCTAGGCATTTGATTTGCTTTCTGAACAGTACACATGCCTTGACCCCTTACAGGAAGGTATAGATGACAACAGCCTTATATACCAGAATTTTGGTGGAGAGGGGAAGAGAGGGGTTTTGTGTGAGGGTGAACACTATCTTCCAAGTCTTACATTCATTCAAGTCTTATAGTCCTTATCTGTTTCCATGTCTGTCTTTTAGTTTATACTTATAAAATCTTTTAACTAGTTTTTACTGCTAAACTAGGGATGCCCATTGATTGGGCCAACCAACTGGGTAAGGATGAGACAAACCTTTTTTTAGGTCATCTTTACTAGACCCCTCTCTATTCAGGGCAAGCAATGCAACCCTAGAAAAGGCTGCTAGGTTGCTTGGGGTGAGCTGCTTAGTCGCTTGTCTCTGTTCACAAGCAAGTGACCATGTTACCCTAGACCACCTACATGCAGAGTTATTTCTGCAATTTCAGTGCCATCTAGCACCTGTCATTTTTGCCATCTTCCATCACTGCAGGTCTTTATTTCCTGCCTGCACTCTGTATGTTTCAAGTGAGGACCAGTTCATGCACATCAATCCCACTCTTTAAGCCCAGGGAAGATTTACAGCAGCTCAGCAGGTTGAGAGGCTGTAAGATTCATAGGGCTGTAGCTTTTATAACAGAGGTGGCATCTCCTATCTTCTGGCTAAAGAGCCTGCTCTCAAAAGAACAACGACTATTTATCCATAGCTAGAGCATGGGTAAAGGACTCTCTGTCATGTCCTTGAACCCAGGGTAATTGCATGACTTAATTGTCCATTACACCTGGCACTAGATAGGTTTGGATGAAGTAGTCCTTCTCTTAAGTGGATTACCCTCCCAGGCTATCGAGCTCCACCTGCCCGGGCTAGGGCTTTAAAGGCGGCCCTTTCTCGCCTGATGTACTTGTCATGGGATTTATGGAGCATTTTATAGAGGAAGCAGTGCCATCTGCAGCCTCACCCCATCCTGGTAAGTACACCGCCACTTTGGTCTGCAACTCCTTATCCACTGGGAAGCCAGCTTATTTGGAGCTAACCTTCAGTGAAGGCCTTTCACTATCTGCCACCTTTCACCTGATGGGTTGGGGATGGTTGCCACGGATTACCATCAAGATAAATGCAAACTTATGAGTAATTACAATTAAAGACAATAATCATCCAATCCATTATAAATGAAACAAAAACTTGGAATTTCTCCTATTCATTTAAAAACTAATATTTATTACATCTAACTACACCTGTGCAAGTATTCTTAAAAGTGTGGGCCTCTGTGGCCTTTCACAACATTTTAGTGTGTGAGAGGAAGAAGATATTCTACAGCTGCTTTTTTTCCCATCTCTGCAGCCCACATTAAGGGTGTCTTATCATCACCATCCCTGGAATTAGGGTTGTGACCACGCTTAAGCAGCATCTCAATGGCTGCAACGTTACCACTGATTGCTGCAGCAGATAGAACAGTCAACCCGTTCTCACCTTTCAAATATTCATCAGCACCCCTATCAAGCAGATAGTTTGCAGCCTTCAATTTGCCCTGTACCAAGCAAGTCAACAGTGGTGTTAAACCAGCAGCACTACATCTAGCATTTATGTCAAAATTGTTAGAGAGCACAGCCTCAATAGTAAGAGCATTGTCAGAAAGAGCAGCTAAATGGAGCAGACCAAGTTCTAAGTTATTTTGAAGTAATGGATTAGCACCTTGAGCAAGAAGATATTCTACAACCTCTGTATTTCCAAGACGTGCAGCATGCCCCAATGGTGTGTCTCCCTCACTATCTCTAGCATCAATGTTACAACCATGTGAGAGCAGCATCTCAATGGCTGCAATAGAACCAGCTGCTGATGCAATGGACAAAAGAGGGACTTTTCCCGGAGTGGTTTTCAAACTTTTATCAGCACCCTTCTCAAGCAGATATTTTAATGCCTCCAATTTGCCAAATTTAGTGCAAACCATTAGAGGGGTTACACCCTGAGTTTCATCTCTGGCATCAATATCAAGACCTTTAGAAAGCATGGTCTCAATAATGGTGACATTGCCAGACTGAGCAGCAAAATGGAGAAGGTTCCGTCCATCTTGCCCTTTCAGTAATGGATCTGCTCCATGTTTAAGAAGACAGTTTACAGCCTCTATCTGTCCACAAGCTGCAGCACAGGCTAATGGCGTGTTTCCCTCACCATCTCGTGAATCAGGTCTGAGATCATAGGAGAGTAACATCTCAATTACTGCAACACTTCCTTCCTGTGATGCAATGTGTAAAGCATTCCTCTTTATATCTTCAGTTGTCAAAGATATATCTGCACCCTTTTGAAGAAGATATTTCACAACTTCAATATGGTTTTGCTTAACAGCTATTATCAATGGGGTGGCTGAACAATCATCATCTTTTGAATTAATGTCAATGTCATAAGAGAGCGCTCTCATCACAATGGAAGAGTTGCCACCTTCAGCTGCTGCATGAAGCAGATTTCTTCCCATAAAGTTTTTAAGGTGTGGATCAGCTCCCTTGCTGAGAAGAAGGTTTACTGTCTTCTCTTGTCCTGTAGCGGCTGCCATCATTAAGGGTGTTGTCCCATCTTTACCCCTTGAATTTATGTCTAATCCAGATGATAGCAAAGTCTCAATTATAACTTCATTACCAACCTTTGCAGCACAGTGTAAGGAATTCCACCCACTGGTTTCAACAGACACACTTCCTTTCATGTTAGAAATTTCTGTGGCTGGCAAGGGAATTGATTGAGTGTTGTTATCAGCAAAAGAATTCATGTCCTCAAGAATGCTCAGAGCATGTTCAACAGCAGCTGTTGATAAATACAACAATTAATGTTAATAGTTTACATTTTTTTGCAGTTTAAATCCAAAACAGATGCACCCAGAGAATCAACTTTACATTCTGAACACTGGCAGCATGCACGCCAATTAATCCTTTTAGATCACTTAAAGTGATTTATTGAAAACTCTGTGGGTCAGTCCTCCCTTCTAGGTGACACAAGGTTCCCAACCCACCAAACAAAGTTATGTTGAGTGAAATTACTGCAATAAATTCTCTAATCCTCTGAAAAACTGTTAATGACAGATTTCTTTCATGAAGCTTTCCTCACCCAAACTATTTGCTCACCACACCACAGCATGGAAGTAACACCACTGCATGATCTAATTTCCAGCCTCTTCTTAAATAAAACCATATCTTAACTCAAGTTTTATATTCTTTTCCTTTGAAGGTGCAAAATTTTGGATTTCAACTGGGAAAAATTCTTTTTTTACTTGGTGGAAATGATACATGCTATTGATTTTTTCATTGTTGGACATACATGTATTGTTTGATTAACAAATTGATGACAGAAAGATGTGAGTTATTATGGTTGGATGGATGGATTAATTAGTGGATTGATTGATGGAATGGAATGGTATAAAATATACCTGGACCAGGAACTGGGTCTGATACCTCCTCAGAGACCTCCCTTTTTTTCTTCACAACAGTGTTAACATTGCTTGGGTTAGGAGGTCTACGTTTCCTATCTCTGATGACACCTTGAAGCTCAATTTCTTTGACAGAAGGCTCTTGTTCTTGTTCAGTCACTGTACACTGATGAACATCAGAGTTTTCACTCCTCTGGACAATTAGTCTTGCCCCTAAGTCTGCAGGTAGAGTATTAAGTAATTAAAGTGAATCCAAAAGTTTAGGAGGATGCCATCAAAATGGCATTTTCTGTGAGGTACATGCATAACAATTCATGTTTAATTTTAGCAGTCAAGGAAAAATATGGCTCTCTTCTGTCTTGGAACTTGAATTGCTAGAATGATCATCCATTTGTTATTTTGTTAACTTAATTTTAGAGCTGCAATGAAATGAACCCAGGATCTGGAGAAAAGCATATGAAGCCGGATGATTTTGGATTTTTGGAAAATGAATTTGATAAAGGTTTGGTGAAGTCACATTGATTATGGACAACTGAGTGCTACATTATAGGTAATAATAAAATATCAAATATGAACATTGATTTTCCACAAAATTTGCAAAGACATCATCATACTGATGAACATGATCAGTCAGTGCTAATTCTCTTTGGCTCTTACCACTGGATGAACATGCCTCTTAACTCTAGTTTTATACTCCTTGCCTTTAAAGGTGCAAGATTTTGGATTTCAACCAGAAAGAATTTTTTGACAAAGGTTTAGTGGAGTCACACTGATTAAGGACAACTGAGTACATTATAGGTAAGGATAAAATATTGCAAAAAATGAACACTGACTTTCCACAAAATTTGCAAAGACATCATCATACTGATGAACATGATCAGTCAGTGCTAATTCTCTATGGCTCTTACCACTGGATGAACATGCCCCTCCATTTTCATGTTCTGAAGTTTGCTTCTTTCCTGAAGTAAAGATTTGAAAACATCTAAATGTGGAAGTCTCACATAAACTTGTCACAAACTACAATTTTTGGCCAACATTATTATTAATAACAGTAACATGGTATGACCATTAACACCAACTTGTAGCCTTTGATTACTAGTTTTCTTACATGTAAATTTGTCATATTCCATAAGACTACTGTCCCTATAGCATTTAGAAACAACTGCTGACTGGCAAATTGAATATTTAATGCAGAACATGTGAGCTTTGTCATTATTTCAAATTTGATTAAAACTTCTGCATTCCTAATGCAAGATGAGAAAAGCTTACCAAATGCAAGATTGTACATCTTTTCGACAAGGAAATCACAAGGCGTCTCCCAGCTGAACTGCTGCAAATAATTTTCACGAAGAGACTTAGCCTCTGCAAGTCGTACATATCTTTTTTTGTTACGCACAGCCTTTATTGCTCTGGCCCAGTCTGCAGGATCCTCTGAATCCACTATACACTGTGACCCATTACACACCTCCTTTAAGGCTTCTGCAATTCCTGAGTTATCACTGACAAGTACTGGAAGACCAGCAGATATGGCCTCTAGAGCGCTCAACCCGAATCCCTCAGTTTTTGAGGGCAATATGGCAATATCCACAAAAGAGAATAAGTTTGCCAATGTTTCCCTGTTTCCATCTAAACTGCTGATACTTAGCTGATTACGACCAATACCACAATGAAGTAACCTGTCTGCTAATTCACCTTCTTTTCCTTTCTGTTTAGAAGCAAACTTCAGTTGGTAGGATTTATCCTTTAGGTCAGCAATAGCTTTCGCTGCGATATCGTACCCTTTGACATCAAAATCTTCACTATCACCACTCTCAATTACCAAGACACAAAATCTTGTTCCTTCCTCACTTGCTTGCTGCACATCTGAAAATTCCGCAAAAATGCTCGGCGTCAGGTTAAAAACATCTTGTTTTCTGAGTTGGTTCTTATATGCCTCGGTTAGCTTGGGGCCAATTGTTACAACTTGATCTGCCATTTGACATAATTCTATTTCTGTTTGCTGCTTTTGTTGACCTTGAGAAATGTCTCTGAACATGCCAATTTCTTCAGGGGCAGTATGGACAACTTGAATCCATTTGCAATGACTGTAATTGGAATTTCTCTTTATGATTTGAATTTGCCGACCAAGAGCTACTCCATGGCCTAGAACACAATCCATAGTATGGCCTTCAGGTACAGAGGCTAGCCAATCAACTGGTTCAAAACCACCCAGTTTAACTGCTTCAATGAGTTTAACATCATAACTATCAGCATCTCTCTTGTCCTCTTCACTACACTGAGGTAAGAAGACACTGACTTCCACATTGGGATGTTTAGCCATCTGTATTGCTAGCTCTCTGTTGATGGTTGTCAAGTCTCCATTGATTGATGCTTTCCATTCAGCACTCAAAAGGGTTACTCTCAGTTTTCTTTCCTCAGCATTGTTCTGTGAGCACAAGATTTTTGTGACTTAGAAAAATACAATTGAAGGTATATGAATATAAAAAAACTAATTTATGAATTATTTTTACTTTTAAAAGACACTTCATGATTTCCAATTCTTTTAGTAACTTCACAAACTCACCAAACTTATGAGCAAAATTTCTGTGAGACGGTAAAGAACAATTGTTAAGGATAGTGGAGTTAGTGTGATACAACTGTGTAATCTCATAATCTAAGAAGTGACCTGCATTCGTTACTGGTTGATATCACACAAAAATTGTCACACACAAGTTTTTCCTTGTCAAATATTCAGAGTTTGGTTTTGCATGATATAGCAAACTTTAAGTCATTCAATACTAACCAACTTGTATGATCCTTTATTATCTTAAAAAAGTGTGAAACATGAGACCTAGAACATATTTTTCCTTAGCTTCGATCATCCAAAAATAAAAACTTACTACAGTCATCTATTTGGACTCTTAATCTTAAACTGATGTGAACTTATTTTACTCTCTTATAAATGTTTTTTTCCTCATCAACCTCCTACTTGGTAAACACCAGTAATATGTAGTTGCAAAGTTTTGTATCTGTAGGCAAGTAATTTGCTCCTAAAGTGAGAGAGTTGGCAGGGATGCACTGATGTGAAGTGAAGTGAAGTTTCTTTAAAATGAAATGACACTAGAGTGAACAAAACAACTTGGTCGCAGCTGTGATTTTCAGAAGCAGTTGTTTGATATGCTACCTTTGATTGTTCCGACATCGCAGGAACCTTTTATGTTGGACAGGAAGTTGCTAAAATAAAAATCACAAGAAAATTAATTACTTTCATTACTTATTTACAAAAAATGTTTTAAATTATTAACTGTAGATCACTATATTAAATGACCACTGGAAATTACTGTTCCTGGCATGTAATCATATTGCCTTTTTTATAAAGTAAAATTTGTTCCTTCTGATCAGCAAAGAGAATGAAGTTTTCAGGTAACAATGTAGAGGAGAGGTACTTCAGTGCAAAAAAAAAGGTTATTTTAAAAGTGCTAAAGATTTGACAAATTGTTTCACAATTACCTGCAGGGTAAATATTTATGAAAAGCTATGACATAGTTTTGTCATGTGTACAATCAATATGTAATCACAAGATTTTTGTCATGGATTCTGAAATAAATAGGCACTCCTAAATTTATCCTTATCCTACAATATCTAGATCGCTGAGAAAATGTAATTTACTCCAACAGGACCCAAGAAACAGTCTAAACAGAAAGCAAGGTTCCTATATGCAGTTATCAACAAAATCTTTCTTTTTCATATTATAACTTAGAGTGTAGGGTAAAATTTCCACACAGCCCCTTAATATTGTAAAACAGGGCGTGAAATTAATTTTTTTTTTCTGATAGCCACTTGGCTCCTAAATTCTTCAAAGTGGTAGCCAATTCAAAAGAAGTTGGTCGCCATTTTCAAAGACAAACAAACCCTTTTTTTACGCTGTCATCGTTCTAGAAATTAAGTTAGGGAAAAGATCTTTAACGTGATACAAAGTGGACACTAGGATGGATGATATGCAACGTTCAAGCTCACCTAAATCCAAGATGGCGTCTAGTGATCGATCTTGATGCATGTGCTGCGTTTTGGAAACAAATTTAACGAGGAAGTTTGCCTCGGATTTATCTTTGCAAATCTTTTTAATTTACTATATCTCTAGGTAAGGTTATGATGAAACATTCTGGTTGCCAATTTGGCAACTAATTTTCAGGATTTGGTCACCAAAGTAAAAAATTTAGTCACATTGGCGCCTGTATTAGGCGCAATTTCACGCCCTGTAAAACAAATCTGTTTTCCTAATGGCAATGCATTGTTTTTGTCATTGTTTTCTCTATCCAAGAACTGAATGCATAGTGTAGTGTGGGGCTGTGCAGAAATTTTACCTAATAGGTAAAATTTCCGCACAACCTCATCCTACATTATGCATTTAGTTCTTGAGTAGAGAAAACAATGACAAAAACATTACATTTCCATTGAGAAAACAGATTTGTTTTACAGTAGTATGGAGCTGTGTGGAAACTTTACCGAGTTTAATCTTAAACAAGAAAAATCTAGAATTGCTTACAATTGAATGGTAAATATTAACTCACAGCGTGGGGTAAAATTTCCGCACAGCCCCATACTATTGTAAAACAAATCTGTTTTCCCAATGGTAATGTATTGTTTTTGTCATTGTTTTCTCTATTGAGAACTGAATGTATAATGTAGTACGGGTTCTGTGCCAAGACCAAACACAGAAGAACCAAAACTGAAGATTTTAATCTTAAATGAGAAAAATCTAGAATTGTTTACACTAGAATGGTAAAATTTCCGCACAGTCCCCAACTACATTATGCATTCAGTTCTTGGATAGAGAAAACAATGATAAAAACAATACATTGCCATTGGGAAAACAGATTTGTTTAACAACAGTATGGGGCTATGTGGGAATTTTACCCATCTTAATAAGCCAAGAGAAAATTTCAATATTCTCTTGAAAAAGTCGTACGTTTTTCTCTTGCCTTTCAAATGACCTTCGAGTGTAGCATCAAAATTTTTTCTCTTGTCCAGTGCAGTTAAATATTATAGTTGAACTGGGGTAAAATTTCTGCATAGCCCCATACTATTGTTAAACAAATCTGTTTTCCCAATGGCAATGTATTTTTTTGTCATTGTTTTCTCTATCCAAGAACTGAATGCATAATGTAGTATGGAGCTGTGCGGAAATTTTACCCAATATACTTTCAGCCAGAGCGGCCAATTAAATGATAACCCATGACTGAACACAAAGGATCCAAAACCAAAGAGTTTAATATTAAACTAGAAAAATCTAGAATTATTTACATGTACTCGAAAATTTCCACACAGCCCCATACTACAATATGCATTCAGTTCTTGGATAGAGAAAACAATGACAAAAACAATACATTGCCATTGGGAAAACAGATTTGTTTAACAACAGTATGGGGCTGTGTGGGAATTTTATCCATCTGAAGAAGTCAAGAGAATATTTTGATATTCTCTTGAAAAAGCCGTACGTTTTTTCTCTCCGTTCGTATGACCTTCAAGTGTAACGTGAATCCTTCGAAATTCTTTCTCTGGTCCAGTGCAGTTAAATATTATAGTAGAACTGGCGTCGAATGGAGTTCCGCGAATTGGATTTCTCAACGGACGATAGTTCTAGAAGAACATGAGAAATGCGGTACAGTCGAACCTCGATTATCCGGACATCGATTATCCGGACTTTTCGATTATCCGGACTTTTTCTCTGGTCCCGTTTTTTCATGAATATTAATGACCTTAGATGTTAAAAACTTTAGGAGGTAAAAAATTTCAGAAATTATGTTAAAAGTCAGGAAAATCGCGTTTAAAACAGCGCATTACACGCTCCGCTTTCGAAAGATCGAGCGCTCGGAGACAAAAAGAGACAAGAAGTATTCTAATGCATTCAGCTGAATTTTCATTTGTTCAGTATTGTTTTGTTGCTAAGCTGAGCGTGGGTTATGTAAACACACGAGACGATCATAACTCAAAACGACAACATGTCTACGAAGCGAAAGCGATCTGTTGAAGCTAACTTTTAGAATTAAAAATGTGTTATCTTTATTTCTTTTGTTTACATTGTCTCACTAATATTCATATTTTCGATTATCCGGACTCTCGATTATCCGGACTATTTACCCTAGTCCCACCGAGTCCGGATAATCGAGGTTCGACTGTATGTCGAAGTTGTAAAGAGGGCGAGAATCAAGGACTTCAGAAAACGGCGGCAAATACTCTAATTGATGCCTTTTCTCGTTTTATTCAGCCTCGCATTAAAAATATCCAGCTTACTGTTAGATCTTGGCGCGAGTTGTCGAAAGTTTTAAGTTTTGTAAAATTTCAGACAAAGCTTCCTTGTTTACCAGGCAAACTGAATAAAATATTCCTCCTCTTTATTCTTATTTAAACTAGTTGGTTTGAGTGTAAATATAGATAAATAAGCACAAACTTGACCCCCACATTCATTGTTTTAGCAGCTGACCAAGAAATGTCTGTGACTCATCTAAGAAAGTTATCTGATTTCATGAGCTCGATATTGCTCGTAGCCATCAAACGTGATCAGATGGAAACGTCTTTTGTAGTCATTTGGAGTTTTTTCGCCTGAATCAGGAGCCCACCATAATTCAATGCAATCGGAGTGGGCACACTGCCTGATCAATATGTAATCACAAGATTTTTGTCATGGATTCTGGAATAGATAGGCGCTCCTAAATTTTGTCAGACAAAATTTTTTGCAAGGGACATCCGCGAAGACGTTTTTGTCTACTGTTCGTCTTAAAAAAGATGTTTGAAAATAGAGGTGATGAGTTGCTCTCAGATGTTTACCAACATTTTTCATTTCAGTAAGAATTTTAGGCATCATCAAAAGTTAACATGAGTTGGCTTACCAAATCTTTGATGGTATGTTCGGGAAGTGAAGGTCCTGTATCTATTCCGTTCAGTGTCACGCGGTGATAATGATCTGAAATCACTTCATAGGAGCTGAAATTATTACGTATAGGAAAATAAACTGGTTAAACACCGCTAAACACTGATAACAATAGTATTTCAAGTCGATTTCCGCCTTCCTCAGTCTATGACTTTCGGCTTAATGAGTTATTTTAGTTCATTCACTATCACATGACAGCATTGGGCTGGGCGGGGGCGGGGGGGGGGGGAAGGCAAAACCCCTCCTCGGCTATGAAACATGATTATTACACCACCCTGCTGGTTTTGTAGCCTGTGGCGTAGGTACGTTGCAGCTGGTTGAATGCAGGCTCGTTTATTTAAGCGGGTACGAAAATCTGAGTTAGGAGGTTAATCTGTGAACGGATGTTGGTATGGTCCAAGGAAAAAAAATTCTTGTGACTGGAGGAGGAGGATATTTTGGCCACAAGCTGGGGAATGAGCTGAAGAAGTTGGGAGCAGTGGTTGTATTGTTTGACATCTCGTGGCCGTTGGATGATGTTGTGTACGAGCAAATGGAGTGTTTTCAGGTAGAGACTTGATCGGTAAATTACGTAATTCACTTTGATTATTTTGCCAAAACAACTCCATTCGGATCTTGCCTTTGTGCTACGGACAGACGAAAATATTAAATTTTACCATGGGGAAAATGCATGGAAGTTATTTGAATTTGCTGTGTCAGACACCCGGTGGTGGGAAGTCTTTTCTAAACATTGGACACCCGCCATTCTAGAATTCTCATATAATTTCCACTTCACCTTACGAATGATAATGTGATATCAGGAATTAAGTGAATTTTTTTTAAAATCTAATGATAAAGTTAAGTCTCCTTTTATGTCATAAGATTCATATTTATGTTTTAGGGGGATATAACAAGTAAAGAAGATGTAAGAAAGATATTTATCAGTCATCAGATTGATGTGGTTTTTCATAGTGCATCATATGGAATGTCTGGAAGAGAGCAAGTTAGTATGTTGTACTTATTGAGTGAATGGTAGGGCCAGACAAAAATACATTTGCCTCTGGGTTGTGGATTCAAAGATGTGCAGAGCTCTGTCTCTGTGCTTGTTTCAAATGTCACAATTTAGAGATAAATGTTACTCTGTCTGCTCTGTCTACTCTGTCTGCTCTGTCTACTCTGTCTGCTCTGTCTGCACTGTCTTTCTCTAGTCCAACCCTACTCAGTCAAAACTGATTCTTTTAGACTGAAATCCTGTGCAGTAGATGTACCAATACTGCTTGTTGCCTTTGCTCCTTAACTGGAATAAGCTGCGACATGATTGTTCATTGGGTAGCAAGCTGTCCTTCACCTTAAATCCTGTTTATATCGGTATCCATATTCTCCATACTGTTCCCTATACATATCCCATGGTACTGACAAAGAGAATCTGTTTAACAATCAAAGTATTTGTAATCTGGTGATCATTTCCTTTATTCTAATGATCCTATTGTTTGACTCAGGGGGGATACTGTTAGGAGAATTTAGATGCTAGTCATGTTAAGGGATTAAAGGGTGTTTCTCAGTTGGACTGTTCTTAGGCATGGTCCACATTGAGATGGCCGTGGTAGAAATCATCTGGAACTGGAATGGGAATTCCACTCTTTAACTGGTGATGTGTTTGAAAATCAGGCTCTTGTGGCATCTGGCTGTATTTTATCATGAAAAACAGTAGATCAAGATGAAACAAAGGAAAGAAATGGGATCAATTTTAAAATTAAACCATGCTTTATTTTAAATTACGAGTGTTATTTTTCAGTTACGCAGAGAACAGATAACATGTGAGAGATCTCTCTTAAGTAGATTTTTTAAATCCTTTATCTGTGTTATCAAGTTTTCAAAAATGTTCCATGCATGTTCCTTGTACTTCTCAAGATAACTGAAGAAGCTCTGACAACTTCTTCAATTAAAAAGATGTACGAGGTTGTGAAATTGTGACAAAAAAAAAACAAACATATACAAAAGTGAAACAGCAAAGTTTGTTTGAACAGAAAACTGGTAGTTGATAGTTTTCTTTCAATATCAACTTTTGCTGAGAGTCTGAGGGAAAAGTAGTCATGGATTAATAAATCATAATTTAGTTCAGGTATGAGAAATTTTCTCTTTTGACTTTTGTCAGCATCCTGACCATTATTCCAGAACAAAGTCCATAGCAGAGCAAACTGTTTTGAATGCTACTGGTGTACCATTGAAAGGTGAGATTTTTATATCAACATTCCTTTATTGAGAAAAAAATTCTTCAATTTCTAATAAATATTTGCCTGGGCTTTTAGAGGTAAAATTCAGTGCGGCTTAGTTTTTTATGATACAGATGTTGAGGTACATTGTAAACATAATTTAATTGCCACGAGGTGTAAAATAATACCTGAGATTCAGAAGTGATCGTCCATTCTGAGAGCATTGACGTTACAGTTTTAGGTGCATTTGGGAAAAAATGAGTGGAACTGTGTCTGCATTATGAGGACTGTTATTAAGTACCTATTTTTTTCACATGTTGCCACATTAATAATACCTTTGTTAATTCAAATATTGTATGGCAATGAAATGATGAGGCATCATATGAATCAATTTTTGTAAATCACGTACTTCAGGTGAAAATAAGGGTTTCAAAAAATAAAAAAAAACTAAGCCTTATACATAATGTAGAACAGATAGGTTAAAGTTTATCTTCAGTCTGTCTAGTAACTGTTCCTTCAGGTTAATTTTTTTTGTTAAAAACCTTACTTATTTACATTGTAATTTCATACTCAGAACTACACTGGAATGTTCTGTTTTTATGTAATGTTGCTAGTTTACTTTTCTTTATTTTAGTTTTCTTTCTTCATTCTTCACTTTTTTCCCTATGTTTGTTTGTAGTTTGATTTATTGTATGCATGCTGTAACTTTTCAAGTGAATATTTATAAAATTATTCCTTGATGAAAAAGTATTGTGGTTATTGAACCTTAAACAAACATGCAAGCAGTTATATATTAAGCAGTGTAAGCTCATTTTCTTCTGGCCCTATAGTTTTGTCGTACTCTTTTGCTTAAACAAACAGAACTTTCTATATCAACCCTTTGGCCCTAAGAGTGACTAACATCTAATTTCTCCTTACCATATGACCCCTGAATCAAACATGAAAGTCATGAGATTAGAGGAAATGATCACCAACTAAAGCAGCTCTTGATCATTACGCAAATTCTCCTTTTCAGCCTCTTTGCAAATGTGTGGATAACAGTATGGAGAATATGCATACTGATGTTAGGGTGTAAAGGTTTAAGCAGTGTGAGCCCATTTTCTTCTGGCCCTATAGTTTTGTCTTTCTCTTTTGCTTCTCTGATTAGATTAAAGTTTGGAATTCAGATTTAAGATTTGATAAAATTTCCTTTTCCTCTCTTTCATTTTCTTTTATCTTCTTTCCCTTGTCTTAGTCAAACAAATCAAAGAAAAAATGAAGGAAAAGAAATTAAAATTTGGAAAGATGCCCTAACTCTAGAGAAATAATTTATGCCTCAGGTCCTAAACTGTCTCTTGGAATCATCATTATTTGGCATTTTCTGACTGAAATTTTTTTTACAATTTTTCAAATAGGTTGAAGGTTTGGGAAACAAATCTCCCAAATTAAAGTTGTCACTAACTCTTGTATATATGGTTAGTAAGTTAAATTTATTTATTTTCATTTATGGACCTCTCAGTTATTAATGTCTAGATTCATATTAATAAGATAAATACTCACATTTTTTGTTTTCTATGATTTTTCTTCTATCCTTTGTTTTGTTGTTCTGTACATTAATCTGTCCACTTTTAAAAGCTTATTTAATTAATTTATACAAATTTATTAATTCATTCATTTAGATGACATGTCAAGTTATCATAATTGTTTTGATGTGTATGACTTACAGTTATTTTCAGTTTTTCTTAAGTCCCTGGTAGTTTTTATTTATATTATTTGATAATAGGGTATGTAGTCATCTGATTATTTCTATTATCCTGTTTATGAATGACAAAGTGGGGTTCTAACTGGCAGTTTTTCGTTTTAGCACTGAATCAAGGCATGTGATTGCATGCAGACCAAATTGGATTTTACATGAACCTATTTCCATTATAACCCAGTTAGCTCTGCAAAACTAGCTCATTGGTCACTACTTTTATCTACTGAGATTAATTAAAGATTATAAAATGGTTGGATTATGATTGGTCAGTTATATGATGAGGAAAAGAGAGAACACAAACTCCATTAAAAATGTTATTTTTACAAGAGAGATTTTCTGTTTGCAGCATTTTTAACAGAACTGGTTCACTCAGTGATTGGAAAATATATTTATAATTTTCAGCCATTCCTCATTAGAAAAGAAGTACTATTCACCAACAAACTTACAAAACCATACATGAAAATAAGTAGCAATGACTATATGCCATCTAAACAAATAGGAAATTGTGTAAAAGTGATAGAGGTGTTTAAGGACTAATAGGTTCTGACAATATTAAAGCATTATTCAGCAAAGATATGATGAGGTTAGCCAAACACATTGGCTTATCAGGTTGTTATCTAGACTTAACACCAAATTCTTAATCTCTTTCCAAGAAAGTATAGGGAAGATAGAATGTGGGAGAACTCTGGGTCAGATCTGGGAAGGTTAAGGGTGAAGTGACACCAAAACATGAGTGACTTTCTGTGACTTTTCAGCTCTTAAACCCATCAACATATTATTTCACCTTGCTAGTTTGCATACATTTCCTTTTTCAAATTATGTGATCCATTCAATTTCTGTTTTATGATCAGTTCCTTGATTCTCCTGAGTATTGCTGATGACAGTATGCTGATGGTGTGGGAAGAAATGAAATGTTGATCACTTCAAAGGATTAAACACGCATATCAATTTGAACTTCATTTGCAATGATGCATGATAACCAAGACAAAATATCATGAAGATTAAGTGATTGTAATAGAGAAAATATGAATGAGGGGATTATGAGTTGATCCAGTTTTAAATTCTCTGAACCAACATCATGAGATGGCAGACAGTAACAGATGAGTAGCACAATCACCATACCCACTTCTGTAACATGTACGGAAAATGTGAAAAATGCTAGTTTGGGACAAAATCACTTCTTTAGGTCTATTTTAAACTCACATTTACTATTACAACTGATTTATTTCAAACTATTTTATTTTTGTCACATTTGATTCAAATTTGTATTTCCCAGAATCCCTTGTGGGTGTGGTCTTTTTCACAAATAATCAATTTCGAGTTCACTGACATAGTAAAAAGTAGAAATAATAATATTTTGTATTACATGGAGGCTAGTATCTCCTCAGTGAGATCAACTGGCACTCTAAAAAAACAGACTTTCTACCTCTTTTTACAACTTGAAGATCACATCACCATTTTTCTCTTGGAAATTCAGCTCTCTTTTTGTGATTCTTTTCATTATATTTTAGATTCCTTAGCCTATTCTTTTCCTGCTTTTTCCTCCTCCACTCTTTGATCCTCGCAAGCTTTTCTTCCTTTTCGTTAACCATACCTCTTGTCAAGCGCACTTGAAGCGATTTTTACAGATTGCTAAATCTCAGAAAAATTATTGAGCTTGAAGACCCAGCGACCCTTGATAACGTCGCAGAAACCGCCAAAACAGGAAAGGTTACTATAGCCGCAAACGCTAATCACTCGTATTTCAAACTTTACTAGAACAAACTTGACACATTGTTGAATACGGTAACTGAAAATGACAAAATTACAAACACGCGAATGAGCATAAAATAACTTACATCGTATGAGTGAAAGTACTGGAAAACGACAGAGCGAAATAAACAAGGATACTTACAAGACGAATGTGACCAAACCAAAGACGAAAACATGAAACCCAGAGCTAGATATGTAACGATAATTTTCACAAACTAGACAACTAACCAAATAAATTACGCGCAACCAATATATATACGATATGCAAATAAATATCACAAGTGCAAAACTGGTAACTGACAAAGGACACTAATGAAGACGAGAAAATAAACACCTAACACAAAACTATGAAACACCAACACTAACAAAAAATGATAATACAAATTCCTGCGCCTACACTTACCAAGCTATTTTCGACACGGAGATGAAAAGATGAAGGCGAAAATGGCGGAGCAAACAGCAGATTTCATAGCGCTTTTGGTGGCATTTGTGGCGAGACTCCGTTCTCAATATGGCGTCAACATGGTAAAAAGCGTAGCGACTTGGTCAAAAGTGAATATTTTGGCCGTTTCTAGAGATATGGACCCGAAAACTTGGAAATGACAAGAGAAACTTATGAGCATTGAAGTGTAATCGATTTTGAAACCCGACTTCGCCGTGTTTGAAGTATAGTAGCGAAGGAGCAGGTAAGTTGATGAAAAATATTATTGCGTAATCAGGTTTTACAAAACCGTAGCGACTGTTTTACACTGATATTTCTCCGTTTATAGTCAATCCTTTAGACTGATTTTTCGCTATTTTAGAACACCAAGTATGAGTATTTGGTTAATGTGTTTTTGTTCCCACAGGATTCCAGTTCAGTCAATCTACGGACAACAACTTGGTGTACTTCCAAATTCTGAAACCCAGCGTTACACAAAGGATACTTAAGAATGATGAATCTTTTCTATTCGTTTTAATAAACTTGAAATGTCAAAGTTTTGCTCAAATGTAGTGTTTATTGTGTGTTATCATTAGGTGTAATTTGTTTAGTCCAACGAGCTTTCTTTTCAGTGAAAAATGTATTTCAAAAATTTCACCACTGATATTGTGTTACGCGTTACAACCAAAATTGGCTCGATTTTTCATCTTTCACGGGTATTTTCTCGAAGACAGTAATGTGGTTTTCTGATTTTTTGCTTTTACAATAATCAATAAGAACAACTTTACCTGTAAGCAAAGATTTGGCTTCAATGAAAATGTAAAACAGAAGAAATCATTGAAAGTTTGCAGTCAACCCCCTATGGGCATGGTGATTGTGCTACTCATCAACATTATTAGTAGGTCTAAAGATAAACATTTGGTTGCTTAAAATGAAATGAATTTTAGACATGTACAATTACTGAAAGAATACTTTTCCTGGCTGAAAGCTAGTCTAAAGATCTTTCATACTCATTGTTTAACATTTAATTTACCTAAATCCCTGTTCCACTTACAAGGTAGTGCAGTTCACACTTTTCTTTCACTTTAAGTCTAAAGGAAGCTTTAACTCTACTACATCTTCACAGGTGACAAACATCTTCCACCAAACTTTGCTGAGAATGTACCTTTACAAAGACTGGTTTCTTGCCAAGATGTGGCAGATATAGTGTACTCTTTCTGGCTAGTGGTGCTTCAGCTTTTATCACAGCAAACACACTGGTGGTAGTCACTGGTAGTTCAATCACAAATTGTTTCCATGGCAACAGTGAACAAGGCAATTAGCTAGCTGTGATCCACGATACTCAGGTGTCCAATTAGTATCTAATGGGCATTTGTGCAAATCCCGATTAAGAGTGAATTTTTTTAGGCTCATTTTTTCTGTAGTTTCTTTAATTATTTCAGTTAATCTTCACCCTTTGCACCCTAATATCATTTCCTTTATTTTCATGATCTTACTGAATGATTCAGTAGTATTACAGTAAGGAGAAATTAGATGCTGGTCACTCCAAGGGTTTTAAGGTTAAGAGAACATTTTGTCCTTTGTGTAATATCTGAGGGTCAAAATGCAATGAAGTATCATTTGGAAATGTGGAAATTGAATGACAGTGATGAAAGCACCAGTTGTTGCCAATAGGCCATGGCAAACTCATAAAAAGATTCACAGGAGTAAAACTTTTTAATATGCTCAATCATTTTGTTTACAATTTTTTTCTAGGCTTTTTTATTTAGCATGAAAGTTCCATCATCTTGAAGCTGCTTAATAATACTAAAATTTACCTTACTTGATGATATACCTGTAAATTGCTTAAATTTTTTTTTTCTTTTTGTAGTTAGTCAAAAGTAAAAGATAATTTATTTTGTTGGGCACCTTTAATTTCATATCATAAGAGCCTGAAGTGCCTTCCCATCTTAGGTTGTAAGTATTCAAGGAAAGCATGGTCATTTAACGATAAGTTTCTCTTCACAGAATCATTCAAGTTTTTGTAACTTCATTTCTTCTTAGAGAATGTATCAGTCAAATTTGTGAAAGAGCATTGAGTCTATTAGCCAAGTATGAAAAACTGTATGATAGTAGGTAGGTGTACTGGAACAGAAACCTGATTAATTTCTGCTCATGGCTGGCAAATTTTGTCAAGTGGATATAGAATAAAGTGATATAAATTGAATAAAATTGATTTTTGAAAATAAGCAGCAGATGATTGCATTGACTGATCTTTACAGACCCTTTCTTTGACCAGATTTTAATAGCTATTAAGCTAGAAAAGATTGATGCAAACAACCATTCCTTTTTTTATATTTCTTCTTATAGTTGAGGGAGGACAAAGATTGCAGCATCTTATCAAGGCAGTAAGTAATTGCTAAAATGGAATGTAGAGATGATCAAAGGTCACATCTGCATTTCACTGTTTGATATTGTTCCTTGCTTTTTGGGGTTTGGTTTGGACTGAAGTGCTCTGAAATACTGGACAATCAATACATTATATTACTTGTTATATATTGCTTGTTCATGGATGGCTCTTTAAGCAAAGTTAAGTCTTGAAACATTAATAGTCTAGTAGCTAGGTCACAGGTCATCAATGACTTTGCCAAGTCTTCTTTTTGAAATTATTCAAAATCCACACCACATTTTTTAAAATCTGGTTTGAAATTGGATCTCTGTCATCTGTGAATAGATTTGAAAGACACTGCTAGATTTTATCAGTAATAAGAGTGGGCTTGCACAATCTCCCAGGAACAAGTGAAAATTTCACAAAAGTTGCTCTTTTTCTTTATTTATTAAGTCAATCCTTTCTTTTATACAGAAAATTTCTACCACTGTTTCATGAAAACACTCAAGATGGCATACAGTAGTATTTTTAACCCTAAGCATTGATGCTAAATTGAAATTAATAGTTCTCACTGTTTTGCATCCTACAACAAAAAGTTAAAATTAGATCTCTGTGAAAAAATCTTACTCAGCAAATAGCTAATTTTACCAATCTAGGGAGGAGAGGAAATCAAACAGATCTTGATTTTAAGTTAAATTAGGTAAAAAACAAGTACATAAAGCTTGTCACACTGATCTAAACAAGACAATTATCAATCTATCTGACAAAAATTGAAAGTAATCTGCATTTACTTAATAGCCTGTAATAGTCTAGTAGCTAGGTCACAAGTCACTAATGACTTTGCCAAGTCTTCTTTTTTTGAAACTATTTGAAATTCACACTGCGTTATTTAAAATCTAGTCTGAAACTGGATCTTTATCGTCTGTGAATGGATTTGTGAGACACTGCTAGATTTAATCAGTGATGAGAGTGGGCTTGCATGGCTACAATCTCCCAGGAACAACAAGTGTAAATTTGGCAAAAGTTGCTGTTTTTCTTCATTTATTAAGTCACTCCCTTCATTTATATTGCAAATTTCTACCACTTTTTCATGAAAGTACTCAAGATGGCATACAATAGTATTTTTAACCCTAAGCATTGATGTTAAATTGAAATCAATAAGTTTCACTGTTTAACGTCTTGTGACTAAAAGTTAAAACTAGATTACTGTGAAAAATCTTTCTTAGCAAATAGCTAGTTTTACCAATCTATTAAACAGCTCTTGATTTTAAAGTTAGATTAAAAACAAGTAAATTTAGCTTGTCTCACTGATTTCTACAAGATAATTATCAATCCAACCAACAAAGACTGAAAGTAATTTCCATTTACTTACAGGTAAGTAACTTTGATTTGTAAAAGTCATTGAATATCTTAAATGTTTTGATGAAAGAATAAGCTGAAGTTTGTACATGATACCAAGAAGTATATGAAACCTATGTGTTTATAAGCCTTTAACTCCCAGAAGTGATTAACATGTAACTTCTCCCTCTAATATCCATACATTATCCAGGAAACAGGTAGTGAGAATACTCAAACTAATCAGGTGCAAGATATTGCCTTGATTGAACACCAAATTGTCAAAACCAAAAAATATCTTCATATTCATAGTCTTTTTCTGTTTCCATGTCTGTCTTTTAATTTATACTGAATCTTCCACTTGTTTTTACTGCTAAACTAGGGATGCCCGTGATCATGGCCAACCAACTGGGTAAGGGTGAGACAAGCTTTTTTAAGGTCACTTTTTCTAGACCCCTCTCTATTCAGGGCAAGCAGTGCATCCCTAGAAAAGGCTGCTTGGTTGCTTGGGGTGAGCCAAATGATGTTATTATCTCTGCTGGCAGGCAAGTGACCATGTTACTTCAGACCACCTACATGCAGAGTTATGACTGCAACTTCAGTGCCGTCTAGCATCTGTCATTTTTGCCATGCTCCATCACTGCAGGTCTTTATTCCCTCTCTACCCTCTGTACATGTAAAGTGAGAGGTGGCATCTCCTATCTTCTGGCTAAAGAGCTTGCTGTCAAAAGAACAATGACTATTTACCCATACCTAAAGCACAGGTAAAGGACTCTCTGTCATGTCCTTGGACCCAGCGTAATTGCATGACTGAACTGTCCATTACACCTGGCGTTAGATAGGTTTGGATGAAGGTGTCCTTATCTTAGGTGGATTACTGGTACCCTCCCAGGCTAACGAGCTCCACCTACCCAGGCTAGGGCTTTTAAGGCGGCCCTTACCCGCCTGATGTACTCGTCATTGGATTTATGGAGCATTTTATAGAGGAAGCAGTGCCATCTGCAGCCTCACCCCATCCTGGTAAGTACACTGCCAGTTTGGTCTGCAACTCCTTATTCACAAGGAAGCCAGCTTATTCGGAGCTAACCTTCACTAAAGACCTTTCACTATCCACCACCTTTTAACCTGCTGTGTTGGGGATGGTCGCCCCTGATTAGCACCAAGATAAATGAAAACTTTGAGTAATTACAATTAAAAACAATAATCATCCAATCCATCATAAATGTAACAAAAACTTGGAATTCCTCCTCTTCATATGAAAACTAATATTTATTACATCTAACTGCACCTGTGCAAGTATTCTTAAAAGTATGGGCCTCTGTGGCCTTTAGCAGTAGACTCTAGTGTGTGAGAGGAAGAAGATATTCTACGGCTGCTTTATTTCCATTCTCTGCAGCCCACATTAAGGGTGTCTTATCACAACCATCCCTGGAATTAGGGTTGTGACCACGCTTAAGCAGCATCTCAATGGCTGCAACATCGCCACTCATTGCTGCAGCAGTAAGAACAGTCCACCCCCTCTCACTTTTCAAATGTTCATCAGCACCCCTTTCAAGCAGATAGTTTGCAGCCTTCAATTTGCCACTCACCAAGCAAGCCAACAGTGGTGTTAAACCAAGGTCAGTACATCTAGCATTTATGTCAAAATTTTCAGAGAGCACAGCCTCAATAGTGAGAAAATTGCTAGAAAGAGCTGCTAAATGGAGCAGACCAAATTCTAGATTATTACGAAGTAATGGATCAGCACCTTGAGCAAGAAGATATTTTAAAACCTCTGTATTTCCAGCAACTGCAGCGTGCATCAATGGTGTCTCTCCCTGATTATCTCTATCATCAATGCTACAACCATGTGAGAGCAGCAACTCAATGGCTGCAACAGAACCAGCTTTTACTGCCAAGGACAAATGAGAGAATTGTCCCTCTGAGGTTTTCAAACTTCCATCAGCACCCTTCTCAAGCAGATATTTTAATGCCTCCAATTTGCCAAATCTAATTGAAACCATTGCAGGGGTTATACCCAGACTTTGAGCTCTGGAATCAATATCAAGACCTTTAGAAAGCATGGTCTCAATAATAACTACATTGCCAGACTGAGCAGCAAAATGGAGAAGGCTCCATCCATTTTGCCCTTTCAGGAATGGATCTGCTCCATGTTCAAGAAGACAATTTACAGCCTCTATCTGTCCAAAAGCTGCAGCATAGGCTAATGGTGTGTTTCCCTCGCCATCTCTTGGATCAGGTCTGAGATCATAGGAGAGTAACATCTCAATTATTACTGCAACACTTCCTTCTTGTGATGCAATGTGTAAAACATTCCCCTTGTCAGGTCCATATGTCAACGATATATCTGCACCCCGTTGAAGAAGATACTTCACAACTTCAACATGATTTCCCTTAACAGCAATTATCAATGGGGTGGCTGATCCTTCATCTTTTGAATCAATGTCAATGTCAAAAGAGAGAGCTCTCTCCACAATGGAAGTGTTGCCACCTTCAGCTGCCGCATGAAGCAGATTTTTTCCCATGAAGTTTTTAAGGTGTGGATCAGCTCCCTTGCTGAGAAGAAGGTTTACTGCCCTCTCTTTTCCTGTAACAGCTGCCACCATTAATGGTGTTGTACCATCATTACACATAGTTTTACCTCTGGCATTAATATCAAGACCTTTAGAAAGCATGGTCTCAATAATGATGACATTGCCAGACACAGCAACAAAATGGAGAAGGCTCCATCCAATTTTCCCTTTCAGTGATGGATCTGCTCCATGTTCAAGAAGACAATCTACAGCCTTTTTCTGTCCATAAGCTGCAGCAAGGGCTAATGGCGTGTTTCCCTCGCCATCTCTTGAATCAGGTTTTAATTCATAGGAGAGCAACATCTCAATTGCTGCAACACTTCCGTACTGTGATGCAATGTGTAAAACATTCCTCTTGGTAAATCCATATTTCAAAGATATATCTGCACCCCGTTGAAGAAGATATTTCACAACTTCAACATGGTCGTTTATAACAGCAAATATCAATGAGGTGGCTGAACGTTCATCTTTTGAATCAATGTCAATGTCACAAGAGAGCATGCTCTCCACAATGAAAGTGTTGCCACCGTAAGCTGCTGCATGAAGCAGATTTCTTCCCATGAAGTCTTTAAGGTGTGGATCAGCTCCCTTGCTGAGAAGAAGGTTTACTGCCCTCTCGTGTCCATTAGCGGCTGCCACCATTAACGGTGTTATACCATAATTAGTGCTTGAATTTATGTCTAGCCCAGAAGATAGCAAAGTCTCAATTATAACCTCACTACCACCCACTGCAGCAGAATGTAAGTGAGTCCACCCTCTGGTTTCAACAGGCACACCTCTTTCAATGTCAGAAGTTTCTATAGCTGGCGAGGAAATTGATTGAGTGTAGTTATCAGCACCAGCAAGGAGCTCAGAACAAGCTGTGTTCTCAACAATGCCCTGAATAGAATCTCCATGTTGAACACCAGCTGTTGATAAATACAACAATTAATGAAACAAGAATGTGTGTGAATGTATTGTTAGAAAGGTCCAAAGGTTGGAAATTCAAGACTTTGATGCCTAACTTTATCTAATTGATTTAGATTTTTTGCAGTTTAAATCCACAAGAGACGTACCCAGAGAATCAACTTTTAATTCTGAACACTGGCAGCATGCATGCCAGCTAATCTTTTTAGATCACTTAAAGTGATTTATTGAAAACTCTGAGGGTGCCCTCTCACCTAGGTGACACAAGGGTCCCAACCCACCAAATAGAGTTCTGTAGAGTGAAATTACAGCAATAAATTCTCTACTCCTCTGAAAAACTGTTAATGATAGATTACTTTTATGAAGCTTTCCTCACCCAAACTATTTGCTCACCACACCACAGCAACAAAGCAACACCACTGCATGATCTCATTTCCAGCCTCTTTGTAAATAAAACCATATCACAACCCAAGTTTTATACTCTTTTCCTTTGAAGGTGCAAGATTTTGGATTTCAACCAGGAACAATTTTTTTTTACTTGGTGGAAATGAAACATGTCATTGATGTTTTCATTGTTGGACATACATGTCTTGTTTGATCAACAAATTGATGACAGAAAGATATGAGTTATCATGGTTGGATGGATGGACTAATTAGTTGACTAATTGATACAATGGAATGGTGTAAAATATACCTGGACAAGGAACTGGGTCTGATAACTCTCCAGAGACCTCACTTTTTTTCTTCACAACAGTATTAACATTGCTTGGGCTAGGAGCTGTATGTTTCCTATTTCTGATGACCAGTTTTTTTTTTGTGACCAGCAGTGGACAGTACAGTGGAGGAAGAGGTACCTAAGGGAAAAGTATAAAGAGCCATTCATGATGTTAGCAACATGATAACAGGTCAAACCAAAATGCAATTAACTGACTGTGTACCATGTACAAAACTTATCTAAACTACATCATTGTTGGTTGTTTGAGCCATAATTTAAGATCAACATTGAAAAAACTGGCGAAAACTGGTGAAAACTGTTTCACCAACCCAGCCTCTACCATCTTAATCCTCCCTTATAGCAAAGGAGAGAGTGAGGGAAAACTAAATTGAGTGCAATTTCCATTCAAAAAAATATTTTGAATGAGAACTTAATGTATTTGGAAGCATTCTTAGTTTAGTTCTACCATTAAAGTTAATTTAACAGCATCTTTTAATTCACCTTCCATTCTTTCATACATCGCTCTTCTGGTTCTTCTTTAGGATCAAAGGAGGAAGTTTCAGGAAGAGGAAACATGCCTAAAAACAAAGGTATACAGAGAGAAATTAGTATTTCTACTGATAAATAGTAAGAAACAGGCATACCAACTTGTATTTAAAGATAGATCTAGAAAAGCTATTGAAAACCTCTATTTGATATTCAAATAATTATATAGTGTATATTGTTACATTGTTTTTGGAGCATGTCAGGGGGAACTGAAACCAAACTGGAACCCATGCTAAACTTCAGTGAGTCAGCAAAAACAACTGAAAGTAGAAAGCCCCACATCTATTCATTCATTTCAACATGGTTTGATGCCAGTTGAAAGATTAGATCAACTTAATCAACTTTCCCCTTGGCTTAATAGCTAAACACAATGAGGAACATGTTTCAATTACATTAACTTCAAAAATAAGTTCAAACTGAGCATCCTGTTCACCTTTCCTTCTCTGCCTATAAGGCAGGCTGCCTCTAAGTTCTTTTCCATGACCAGTGGTGGGTACTGCAGTAAAGGGTAAAGTACCTAAAGGTAAAAATGCAGAGAGAGATTTACATTCACAGCCTCTCTTCAAATGTTTTGTTCCCATAAGTAGGAACTCTGTAAAATTATATTAATTCCTTGATGCCACATCAACCCTTTCGCTGGCAAACATACAAATTTGTACGCTCTGACCCTATCCATATTAAAAATCTCAGGGGACCCCCACATAGTGTTGTTTTGATTTCATAAAGATTATTATGGTTTGTCAAGTCACATTTCTTAATTCATAGTCGTATTTCTCACTGTTTTCATCCAAATGTGACCTGTTTTTTGCCAAAAAAAAAATCACACATGCAATACTATCCTTTTAAATATGGCTTTTGCATGATATCAAGTAATGCTCACAAGTATGTAATTGTCTTGTCTTAGAAGGGCAGGAAAAACAAGTAACACTTTGAACATTTTGTTATGCTTGGCTTTTCTTGCCCCAAATTCTGTGCACAAGGACCCATATGTAACAAAATAGTCTTGAAATGATTGTAAATTTTCTGCTTATTAAAATGATAGATAGTTTATTGGGGTTAAACTAAAATGTGATGAGCTGTGGCCTGATTTGTCGACTTACGGCATAGATAAAACAAGGAGTCCCCAGGAACCTGCCAGCAAAAGTGTTAATGCACTGAGATAATTCTTCCAACATTTATCATATAAATGTTATTACTGTTTACAAAAACTTTCCATAATAAATTAATACAAGTTTTTTTAATTTCCTTTTCACCTTCCAATTTCACTGTCTCCATAATCTTTGTCTTCTGTTCACTTTTTTCCCATTGTTCTTTTTTTTGTGGACTTTCACTGGCTGAACTTGTGGAGTGGAATTCAGAGGATAAAGCATCTAAAATCAGATTTACAAGAGGACAAACATTTTAAACCATAAACATACCTCAAACTATTTTTAAAACACCCAAGATACAAAAACTAGTAAAATTTTCATAGTCCCTCCAATAAAAATCTTGCCAATTACTCTTTGATTAAGTTTTTTTAACAAATTAAGGAAAGACAAGTACAATTCTATAGAGAAGAAAATATCTAGCAAGACATCTTAGAGAGAAAGATAACAGTTTACTAGGGAGAGATGTTTGAGAACCCTAAGAGAAAGAAAATAAAAACCCTGATTTATCTGAACTCACACAGGTATTTTGTGGTCTATTTTCTCTATTGTCCAAATACTTGTAAGCAAAAGTAAAATAAATCTGTGCCACACATACAGTTGTCTCCTTTGCAGCTGTTGTTTGGTCTTGTCAAACAATACCCTCTATTCCTCATTTGAGAGAGAGCATGTTGCTTGAAGAGACCAAATAATGGTTGCAAAAGAGACCACACTTACTGCTATTCCTCTTATAGAGAGAAAATCACAATTATTCATCTAGAATTAGTTGTCCCAAAAATAGAATTTTTACCTAATTTTTACTACAAAAGGCACACTGAAGCTCTATTGTATCTCCAATAAACCCTAACCAAATATGTATTGCAATCTTGGTTTACTGAAGAAACATTAACAAGAGAAAAGGATAATAATGCAAAGAGGGCTCCTTGATTGGTTGTTGCCTATCTGGACTGTGCCCTCTGTGAGTGAAATACATGATAAAATGCAGGTTGTTTACATTGAATTGTTTTGATTTCATAAAGATTATTATGGTTTGTCAAGTCACATTTCTTAATTCGTAGTCGTATTTCTCACTGTTTTCATCCAAATGTGACCTGTTTTTTGCCAAAAAAAAATATCACACATGCAATACTATCCTTTTAAATATGGTTTTTGCATGATATCAAGTAATGCTCACAAGTATGTAATTGTCTTGTCTTAGAAGGGCAGGAAAAACAAGTAACACTTTGAACATTTTGTTATGCTTGGCTTTTCTTGCCCCAAATTCTGTGCACAAGGACCCATATGTAACAAAATAGTCTTGAAATGATTGTAAATTTTCTGCTTATTAAAATGATATATAGTTTATTGGGGTTAAACTAAAATGTGATGAGCTGTGGCCTGATTTGTCGACTTACGGCATAGAAAAACAAGGAGTCCCCAGGAACCTGCCAGCAAAAGTGTTAATGCACTGAGATAATTCTTCCAACATTTATCATATAAATGTTATTACTGTTTACGAAAACTTTCCATAATAAATTAATACAAGTTTTTTTAATTTCCTTTTCACCTTCCAATTTCACTTTCTCCATCATCTTTGCTATCTGTTCACTTTTTTCCCATTGTTCTTTTTTTTGTGGACTTTCACTGGTTGAACTTGTGGAGTGGAATTCAGAGGATAAAGCATCTAAAATCAGATTTACAAGAGGACAAACATTTTAAACCATAAACATACCTCAAACTATTTTTAAAACACCCAAGATACAAAAACTAGCAAAATTTTCATATTCCTTCCAATAAAAATCTTGCCAATTACTCTTTGATTAAGTTTTTTTAACAAATTAAGGAAAGACAAGTACAATTCTATAGAGAGGAAAATATCAAGCAAGACATCTTAGAGAGAAAGATAACAGTTTACTGGGGAGAGATGTTTGAGAACCCTAAGAGAAAGAAAATAAAAACCCTGATTTATCTGAACTCACACAGGTATTTTGTGGTCTATTTTCTCTATTGTCCAAATACTTGTAAGCAAAAGTAAAATATATCGGTGCCACACATACTGTTGTCTCCTTTGCAGCTGTTGTTTGGTCTTGTCACACAATACCATCTATTCCTCATTTGAGAGAGAGCATGTTGCTTGAAGAGACCAAATAATGGTTGCAAAAGAGACCACGCTTACTGCTGTTTTTCTTATAGAGAGAAAATCACAATTATTCATCTACAATTAGTTGTCCCAAAAATAGAATTTCACCTAATTTTTACTACAAAAGGCACACTGAAGCTCTATTGTATCTCCAATAAACCCTAACCAAATATATATTGCAATCTTGATTTACTGAAGAAACATTAAACAAGAGAAAAGGATAATAATGCAAAGAGGGCTCCTTGATTGGTTGTTGCCTATCTGGACTGTGCCCTCTGTGAGTGAAATACATGATAAAATGCAGGTTGTTTACAATGAATTGTTTCGATTTCATAAAGATTATAATGGTTTGTCAAGTCACATTTCTTAATTCGTAGCCGTATTTCTCACTGTTTTCATCCAAATGTGACCTGTTTTTTGCCAAAAAAAAAATCACACATGCAATACTATCCTTTTAAATATGGCTTTTGCATGATATCAAGTAATGCTCACAAGTATGTAATTGTCTTGTCTTAGAAGGGCAGGAAAAACAAGTAACACTTTGAACATTTTGTTATGCTTGGCTTTTCTTGCCCCAAATTCTGTGCACAAGGACCCATATGTAACAAAATAGTCTTGAAATGATTGTAAATTTTCTGCTTATTAAAATGATATATAGTTTATTGGGGTTAAACTAAAATGTGATGAGCTGTGGCCTGATTTGTCGACTTACGGCATAGATAAAACAAGGAGTCCCCAGGAACCTGCCAGCAAAAGTGTTAATGCACTGAGATAATTCTTCCAACATTTATCATATAAATGTTATCACTGTTTACGAAAACTTTCCATGATAAATTAATACAAGTTTTTTTAATTTCCTTTTCACCTTCCAATTTCACTGTCTCCATAATCTTTGTCTTCTGTTCACTTTTTTCCCATTGTTCTTTTTTTTGTGGACTTTCACTGGTTGAACTTGTGGAGTGGAATTCAGAGGATAAAGCATCTAAAATCAGATTTACAAGAGGACAAACATTTTAAACCATAAACATACCTCAAACTATTTTTAAAACACCCAAGATACAAAAACTAGTAAAATTTTCATAGTCCCTCCAATAAAAATCTTGCCAATTACTCTTTGATTAAGTTTTTTTAACAAATTAAGGAAAGACAAGTACAATTCTATAGAGAGGAAAATATTGAGCAAGACATCTTAGAGAGAAAGATAACAGTTTACTGGGGAGAGATGTTTGAGAACCCTAAGAGAAAGAAAATAAAAACCCTGATTTATCTGAACTCACACAGGTATTTTGTGGTCTATTTTCTCTATTGTCCAAATACTTGTAAGCAAAAGTAAAATATATTGGTGCCACACATACAGTTGTCTCCTTTGCAGCTGTTGTTTGGTCTTGTCAAACAATACCCTCTATTCCTCATTTGAGAGAGAGCATGTTGCTTGAAGAGACCAAATAATGGTTGCAAAAGAGACCACACTTACTGCTATTCCTCTTATAGAGAGAAAATCACAATTATTCATCTACAATTAGTTGTCCCAAAAATAGAATTTTTACCTAATTTTTACTACAAAAGGCACACTGAAGCTCTATTGTATCTCCAATAAACCCTAACCAAATATATATTGCAATCTTGATTTACTGAAGAAACATTAACAAGGGAAAAGGATAATAATGCAAAGAGGGCTCCTTGATTGGTTGTTGCCTATCTGGACTGTGCCCTCTGTGAGTGAAATACATGATAAAATGCAGGTTGTTTACAATGAATTGTTTTGATTTCATAAAGATTATTATGGTTTGTCAAGTCACATTTCTTAATTCGTAGTCGTATTTCTCACTGTTTTCATCCAAATGTGACCTGTTTTTTGCCAAAAAAAAAAATCACAAATGCAATACTATCCTTTTAAATATGGTTTTTGCATGATATCAAGAAATGCTCACAAGTATGTAATTGTCTTGTCTTAGAAGGGCAGGAAAAACAAGTAACACTTTGAACATTTTGTTATGCTTGGCTTTTCTTGCCCCAAATTCTGTGCACAAGGACCCATATGTAACAAAATAGTCTTAAAATGATTGTAAATTTTCTGCTTATTAAAATGATAGATAGTTTATTGTGGTTAAACTAAAGTGTGATGAGCTGTGGCCTGATTTGTCGACTTACGGCATAGAAAAACAAGGAGTCCCCAGGAACCTGCCAGCAAAAGGGTTAATGCACTGAGATAATTCTTCCAACATTTACCATATAAATGTTATTACTGTTTACGAAAACTTTCCATAATAAATTAATACAAGTTTTTTTAATTTCCTTTTCACCTTCCAATTTCACGGTCTCCATAATCTTTGTCTTCTGTTCACTTTTTTCCCATTCTTTTTTTTGTGGACTTTCACTGGTTGAACTTGTGGAGTGGAATTGAGAGGATAAAGCATCTAAAATCAGATTTACAAGAGGACAAACATTTTAAACCATAAACATACCTCAAACTATTTTTAAAACACCCAAGATACAAAAACTAGTAAAATTTTCATAGTCCCTCCAATACAAAATTTGGCAATTAATCTTTGATTAAGTTTTTTTTTAACAAATCAAGGAAAGACAAGTACAATTCTATAGAGAAGAAAATATCAAGCAAGACATCTTAGAGAGAAAGATAACAGTTTACTGAGGAGAGATGTTTGAGAACCCTAAGAGAAAGAAAATAAAAACCCTGATTTATCTGAACTCACACAAGTATTTTGTGGTCTATTTTCTCTATTGTCCAAATACTTGTAAGCAAAAGTAAAATATATCGGTGCCACAAATACTGTTGTCTCCTTTGCAGCTGTTGTTTGGTCTCATCACACAATACCATCTATTCCTCATTTGAGAGAGAGCATGTTGCTTGAAGAGACCAAATAATGGTTGCAAAAGAGACCACGCTTACTGCTGTTTTTCTTATACAGAGAAAATCACAATTATCCATCTACAATTAGTTGTCCCAAAAATATAATTTCACCTAATTTTTACTAAAAAAAGCACTCTGAAGCTCTATTGTATCTCCAATAAACCCTAACCAAATATATATTGCAATCTTGATTTACTGAAGAAACATTAACAAGAGAAAAGGATAATAATGCAAAGAGGGCTCCTTGATTGGTTGTTGCCTATCTGGACTGTGCCCTCTGTGAGTGAAATACATGATAAAATGCAGGTTGTTTACAATGAATTGTTTTGATTTCATAAAGATTATAATGGTTTGTCAAGTCACATTTCTTAATTCATAGTCGTATTTCTCACTGTTTTCATCCAAATGTGACCTGTTTTTTGCCAAAAAAAATCACACATGCAATACAAAAAGACAATGCACTTGAAAACTTGTAGTCCAACCACAAGTCCAGATAACTGTAACAACTCAGGACATACAGGTGCACTTTAGTTGTTCTTTTGCTTATCTACATGTACCAGTATTCAGTTTATCTTATGTGGCTCAGTCTTCACTTAAAGTTTAGCTTCATTATGTGATGTAGCATAACATTTCAGTAAATGTACTCAACAAAAAGAAAAACTAAAAAAGGTGGACTCACCATTTGCAGTTTTCACAACCTTTTCAATTAGCCCTTTGAACCTCTCACATTCCATTCTCCAAGGGTAAACCCTCCTGTAGTTCTCTCTAAGCTGTTTGGCACTGGTTTGTCTCTCTTCTGGACTTTGGCTGGACACCTCACTTATCCTTCGTGCCCATTCATCTTCATCTTCATCTGATCCAACAATGACAGTGTTTCCGCCTTCTACTTTTTGCAACGCCTCAGCTATGCCAGATTCATCAGAGACAAGTACAGGTACACCGGAAGAAATGGCTTCGAGGCCAACTAACCCAAATCCTTCAGTACGTGAAGGAACAGCAACCAGGTCTGATTGGTGAAACATTTCTTTCAGTTCATCCTGTTTAGTGCAATAACCACGAATTGTTATCTGCTTGCGTTTGATGCATGTGTTATTAAGAAACCATTGCTCTACGTTTCGGTGCTCACCAGGAGAAGAGCCAACAAATGTGAGCTCAAATTTCCCTCCAAGGGAACCTATGGCATTTGCTACTATATCATAACCCTTTAACGTAAGGTCTTCAAAGGTTGCTCGGCCGAACATGAAGACGTTGAATTTAAAAGCCTTAAAGGCATTCAACGTCCTCGATAATACACCAGCATGTTCTCCCGATTCTATCGATTCATTGCAAAACTTTTTCAAAATTCCTGGGGTGATGATCTCCACCGCCACATTTGGGAGACTTCTGCTGTACTTTCGTTGTAGACGCGAGCCGACAGCGATAACTGCATCCGCTGCTTTACACGACTCAATTTCTTTCTTGTGCTTCTCCTCGTTCTCCTCGATCGTATCTGTAACGGCCGTGGCAGTAGTTTCTTTAAACTTTCCAAGGTCCTCACAGAAGACGTGGACAAACTGAATCCATTTACATCCTGTAGCTCGCCTGAGGAACCATGCTGGAATTCCGAGTTTTCTGCCATGACCAATCACAATATGTGGATACGGAAGCTCTGGAGGTTGAGTTTTCAACCAATCTAAGGGATCTTGCGATCCAGGAACAGTCTGAGCGGTTATTAAATTTACTCCAAGTTGTTCAGCATCTTCCTTATCCTGATCATCGCTTCTCGAGACATAACAGTGGATTTTCATGCTATCAGTCGTTGTCTCTGCCAAATTAATAGCAAACTCGCGATTGAAAGTTGATAATCCACCTTTCGAAGATTTCCACTCGTCACAGAGAAACATAACATCAATAAGCCTCTGTTCTTTCTCCTCCTCTTCACTACTGACAGTAATAGATGCGCTCGGACACGCCATTGTTAGATATTACCCTGATTTCTTCAATTTCTGCCCAGCCCCGTACTTCATTATGCATGCCCTTTTTATTGGTGATACACTGAATAATAAAGCCCCGAATATGGATGTATAATAAAGTACGGGGCTATGCGGAAATTTTGCCATTTCTTTCAGCAATCGATGAGTTTCACTCCACTAAATATCACATCCAAAGGAAATTCGTAAAGAACTTTCACGTTTGACTCAAACTAGCACACCTTGAGCATCGGAAGTTGATGGCTCACATATCGTATCACGAAAGTTGAGCCTATAGATCAGGGTTAGCTGTTCAGCGGCTCGAGACAGTGTCATTTATACAGCCTCTCAGAATAGTACTTGGTGTAAGACTGCCCAAAATGTCCCGGGCCACCGCCCATACTATTAGTACTGTAGTAAGACCTATGGTACCCGCAGGAGTTGTGTAGTACCTGTGGTAGCTGTAGTACCTGTAGCAGCTGTACTAGTAGATGTAGTACCTGTAGTGGCTGTAGTAGCTGTAGTAACCCTGTAGTACCTGTAGTACCTGTAGAACCTGTAGTAGCTATCAGGGGTGGATCCAGGGTAGTTTACCTGATTTCCGGAACTCACTCAAATTTTTTCCGACCTAGTTAAATGTTGATAAAAGTACTTTTGGAAAAAACTCTAATTTCCCTTTGGAAACTACTGATACTTTTGTGGAAATCACTAAACGTCTTCCAGAAATAAACCATCTTCCTGTTTTACAGTTATTTATTAAAGAAAATACGTTTAGAATGACTAATTTCGTTATAATTGCGGTCATGAGGCGTTCGGGAGCGCTCCGGATCACGCGCTGGCCTTTCGAGCTTCGATTACACCTCGGAAACCGTCGGAAGCCGTCGGAAAATGTTCGTGGAGCCAATCTTTACGCAACCGGTGGGTGTAAGTCCTTGTTATTTGGTGACAATAACAGGCGGAACACAGTCAAAACCCCTCACGATTGGCTAGCAAAGATTTCGTCATCGGAACTCACTCAAAACACTCTTCTGATTGGCTAGTTGTGTTTGGAAACTACCTTGGAAACTACTGACAAAGTATAAAAAGGGCAGTTCCTCCCCCAGCGGGTCTCTTTCGTTGCTCCTACAATACTAGTGTTATGACTCGCGGAGATCCTGTTGTCGGAGGGAGGATTGTTCTCCCTTCGACATTGGCCTAGTTTTCGACGAGATCCACAACTACTCGCCGCATCAGAAGCTGGAGTTCGTCGAAAACGTGTGGAAACCAGGTGAGCTTTTTGATTTCCCCGTGTCAATGGAAAATCTCGTAAGTTTGTCTCGGGCTGGCTGAAAAGATTTCCATGGCTAGCTTACTCCAAATATTTCGATGGAGCATTTTGTTTAGCTTGTGTTTGTTTTGGAGTTCAGTGTGGGCGAAACGCTAATAAGTTAGGCAAATTATTGAAGTCTCCTCTCACAAATTGGACTTCGGCCGCTTCTCGCTTAACCAAACACTCGCTAGGAAATTGTGAAATTCACAATTTTTCTATGACTGCTATGAATGATTTCAAGAGAATGATGCAAAGAGGAGCTGTCCCAATTGACCAGCAGTTAAATAACATAGTTCAACAGCAAATCGCGGGAAATCGGGAGATTCTAAAGTCCCTTTTCAAAACTATTATTTTCTGTGGGAAAAACAACATCCCACTCAGGGGCGGAGAGATGATGATCAATCTCACTAGAGTTTTTCTTGACCATGTACTCCAGCAGCTCAACACCAGATTCCAGGATGATGTATTTGTTTGCTATAAAGGTATTTCGATTATTCCCTCTGTTTTACTAGCTACTGACCCTGCCTGGAAGGCCAATGTTTTGGAATTTTGTAACCATTACAGACAGGACATACCAAATTATGCAGGATTACAGGCAGAGCTTTTGTTATGGGAGAGATTGTGGAAGGGGGGGATAACAGAGGAGATATTATTCCTGACAGTTTGGAGGCTACACTGAAGGATATTGACAAAGATGCATATGTCAACATCTATTCCATGCTGAAAGTCCTGATCACAATTCCAATTTCATCTGCATCTTGTGAGAGATCCATATCATCCCTTCGAATCTTAAGAACTATTTGAGAAATACAATGACCCAGGACAGACTGAATGGATTGGCACTGATGCATGCCCACAGAGACATGGATTTTGACCTTGAACGTATAATAGATTTATTTGCTGAGTTACATCCTAGGAGAATGAGAATGGCAAACATTTTGTAATAATTTTTTTTGCACCAGCTGTTTCTAGAGTACTTGTGAGTTATGTTCTGTCTGGGTTATGGCCTTTAAGTCTCATAATCCTTAAACTGATGGAGAACAGTACAGAAGCTCAAACTGGTGCCTGTATAACTTTTTTTTCAACTCATTTCAAGGTTATTTTCTATTTTGTTTTACTTGTGATGATTTTCCATTGACATTGACATTGGGTTTTCACGTTAAGCGTAAATGGTTAACAAACATTTTCACTGAACTCAACCAGCTTCACAGCAATTCCCAAGGATGAAGAAAGGCTAGTATTATTTCAAATTATCATTTCACTTCAATTTGTATATCATTTTATGATTCTTATAATTTATATTTTTCTAATAATTGTTTTATTTTTTTAATTCCAGCTCCCAACACAGGCTAACCATCCATAAAGCCCTTCTCTCTCTCTCAAATTCTTTTCTGTGTTGTGCTCCTATAAATAAATGAATAAAAGCCAGCTCAGGAAATGTTGTTTTTAGTGTTGCTAAACATTTGGATTTATTGAGCCTGGCTTTCATTCATTTCATTCATTATAGGAGCACAACACAGAAGAAATTTGAGAGAGAGAAGGGCTTTATGGATGGTAAGCCTGTGGTCCCAAGGATGAAAAAAGGCAAGTAGATTTTTATTATCAATCTTTAAACTATATCATCAATTGTGCTTGTTTTTTCTTTGTTATCAAAAACACTAACACTTGGTTCGTTTTTTTTCCACATCTTGATTTTCCTGACTGGGAGGTGATGTTTTCCAGTGTGAAAAGTCTTGGTGATGACTTGGCCTTCCTGAAAACACTATATACACTGGTTTGCACAGTAGCTAAAGGTGGAATATTTGTAGATCAGAGTGTTTCCTGTAGTACTTTCAAGAAAAATAAATGTTTTTTGCCTTTTTGATTACATGCTTTTTTAGTCTTTTGGGGGCAATTAAATTTTCTAAAAATGCATGAAATGGCCTTTAGAGAGCTCCAAATTTCAAATTTTCTCGGGGGGGGGGCATGCCCCCGAACCCCCCTAGCAGGAGTGGGTCCTCGGGTGGAAACTACTCACTCAAAATCCTGGATCCACCCCTGGAAAGGATACTGAACCAACATACCAGGAAAAAGATCAATATCAGGGATATGAGAGAAAGCAAGAAGACAAGTCTCGGCCGCTATCTCAGCAATGTCGACTGGTCATGCATCAATATGCAAAGCTCCTGTGAGGGAAAACCCCGCATTTTCAACGAACTGATAACAAACGGCATAAATAACATCATGCCAGAAAGGTCGATTAAAGTTTACCCGAAGGACGCCCCTTGGATGACAATAAAACTCAAGGAGTTGATTCGTTTGCGTCAAAAAGCATTTCATTCCAACAAGAAGGGTCCAGTTTTCAGATTCTACCGCAATGCTGTCAATAGAGAAAGGAAACTATGCAAAGCAGCCTATTATACTTCAAAAGTGCAAGATCTCAAAGGTATGAATCCCCGTCAGTGGTGGAAAGAGATAAATAAACTGAGTGGATCCAAAAAACAAAACCCCAATTTACTGTCCTCCCTCGATGTACAGCAATTCACCAACATGTCCCCCCAAGAAATCGCCAGTGCAATAAATGAAGCTCTTCTAGAACCGCTCCAGTCTTATCAGCCTATCAACTGTGAGAACACGTCTGTTCTCCTTCCTACAGGAGAAGGCGCCGAATTCCCTAAAATATCAACACATCGAGTGTACATTAATCTGAAACGCCTCAACAAACACAAAGCTCCTGGCCCGGACGGCATACCTAATTGGGTTCTAAAGGAATACGCCGAAATTTTAGCACAGCCCATAACGGACATTTTGAACAAATTTTGAACCCAAATCAGTTCGGAACGGTATCTGGATCATCCACTGTACTGGCACTCATAAGCATGATACACAATTGGCTTGAAGCAACAGACGGAAACGGAGCGTCAGTTCGGGTCCTTCTTTTTGATTACCGAAAGGCCTTTGACCTAATAGATCAGTCCATCCTAATATCAAAACTGAATCAACTGGACATTCCGAAGAGCGTTATTAACTGGATAGTTGACTTCCTTTCAAATAGGTCTCAGAGAGTTAAACTTGGCAATGACTGTTTCTCTGAGTGGAGCAAAGTGCCTGCCGGAGTACCACAGGGAACCAAACTGGGCCCCTGGCTTTTCCTTTTAATGATAAACGATTTGTCAGTTTCGCCCGACATTTTTAATCTGTGGAAATAAGTTGACGATACGACGGTATCAGAAACCGTCCCGAAAGGAAAGATTAGTCACGTGCAAAGCGCAATTGACCAAGTACAGTCCTGGTCTGAGGAAAATCTATTTCAATTGAATTGCGCAAAAACCAAAGAACTGTTGATCAGCTTTAGCCCTCAATACCCCCAATTTCCAAAAACCAACGTGGACGGGGAACTAATTGAATCTGTGCAGTGTGTTAAACTTCTTGGACTCAATATTAATTCAACTCTAACTTGGAACAACCATATTACAGAAATAATAAAGAAATCCAACTCAAAACACTATTTTTTGATTCAACTTAAGCGGGCTAAAGTACCTACAATCGATCTTGTAGCAATCTATTGCGCAACCATCAGGTCCTGCCTAGACTACGCCTGCCTAGTGTTCCACCATGCACTTCCGAAATATCTACAAGTCGATCTGGAGAGAGTGCAGAAAAGAGCCCTCGCATGCATCTTCCCTGGAGCATCATACAAAGAAGCCCTCGATCAAGCAAACATCCCAAGCTTAAGAACCCACCAAGAACAGTTGACATCGAAACTTTTCCGATCAGTTTTAGAAAACAAAAACAACAAAATTCATTCTTTAATCCCAAAAAGTTATCAGGCTAATTACAATTTTAGGAAACAGAGGAATTTCAATCTTAATCGTTGTAAGACCGACAGAGCGGCAACAAGTTTCGTAAATATGTGTTGCAGAAACAGTTTGTACAATTAATTAATGTGAAGTTACGCAATTCAGTTTTATCTGCAATGTAATTTTAATAAAACACAGTCTATCTATCTATCTCTACAACTTTTTTCCAACCCTCACCTTCCCCTTCCCTCTCCTCCCAGCTTATTTAATGGGTTACTGCCGTTTTACTTCCCCTTCCCCATGCAGCCTAATTTCACTTTTTTTTTTTGTTTTTTTTTTCTGTTTCCAAGGACTAAACTCAAAAACTACCAATAAAGTATGCTCTTGTGGAAAGAACAATGCCAAGGATAGCGAAAAGGCGTCTTGTACAAAGGACGACAAGGGACACAGCCATTGTCCCTGCGTGATTTCGGGGCATTTTTGTTCCCGCAATTTTAGATGCAAAAGGTGTGAAAACTCAACCATGCAAGCTGCTTGCTCTTCTACAAGTGAAGTTGGATACACCATTGATGTTTCCTGCAAATGTGGCCACAACAAAGTAAAATACGATAATAAGTACATTTCCTGCCGAGATGGCCCTAGGAAGTCGAAATGTCCATGTTTGCGGGTGAACCAAGAATGTGGGTTAGAGTGCAGCTGCTTTAACTGTGGAAATTCTAACATGAGGAAACTTAAAAGGGGTCCTACACAACTCAAACGTAAGCGTGAGCGTCCATCACCGTACAAGAAAAGAAAAAGCGCTGAGTATTTGTCCTTGCAAGGCGCACATCCTGTAGATGGCCCATGGACTAATCACGAGACTTGTCTTCTCTTCTGTGTCACCTCCCTCATAGAAGCCACTATAGTGACGCCATCGGTACAAAATATCACAGCGTTGTTTAATTACGTCACGGACTCGAAAATTTGCAAAGATAATAATTATGCGTTAAGGAGAAAAAAACTGTCACAAGTGTCTGCGAAGTTAAAAATACTAAAAGAAAAAAAAGAATTGGAAATCGCGTTATCAAGGTAACAACCACTGTTCACGAAAGAAAAATAGACATCATCTAGATTGGCTACTTTCCATGAAGGAAAAACACACACTTCTTCTTATTTCAAATATCCCACGAAAGGCAAGCCAGGGCCCTGAATATTTGACTGTAAGGGATGAAAGACTGTTCAAAGTAACGATTGCAATGTTTCATGTTAAGGGCCGAGCACTATTCTCGTCCCCACAGTTTCGACTGGATCCTTTTGGTCAGTGTCGGTGATTGAGAGCTGTTCCTGACGAAAAGTCGAAGAGAGAAACTCCAAGCTCTGTTGTGTGTGACGTCACTCATTTCAGTCAATTCCCCGTAATTCTTTATTGTGGGAAGAAGAGGTTAAAGAGGGTTTCTGAGTTATTTGAATCGGTCATTTAAGTAAAAGGAGTTATGAAAGAAGTGCAAATTCACCTTTGACGTCAGTAAAATATATGACAGAAGTCACGCGTCAAGGTAATTTTAAAAACCTCATTTCACGAAATATTGGTAATAAAAACTGTAAAAATTTGAACTGGCTTTCTAGGATATAAAAACGTTTTGAATAAAAAGTTTGGAGTTTCTGTTTCTGTTTAGCTCTGTTTCTGACTGATGGAGTTCTGTTTAAGCTGAGACGTTTTATGGCTGTGAAAATAAAGCTTATTGTTGTTGTTGTTCATGTATGTTGACAGACCAGTATATAATTCAGCAGACTTAGACTGAGTATCAGGCCTTCGCAACCTTATCTCTTCCCCCTTTCGCCCAGAACCGCCTAATACTCAAAATTAAAGCGGACATGGCACGATGAAGCTTTAGGTATGAAGAAGTACGTTAACTCGACCAAAGGTGAAGAAATGTAAGAATAAGAAATCACACCTTAAGAAAAGACGTTAACGAAGCCACCTTTAAATCACTTTTCCCTGTCTATATCAAAGCCTTTGATCCTTAGGTATATTATGGTAGAACTGTATCTATTGGTTGAGATTTGAGGCACTTTCGGGCTATAAAAGTTCAGCTATTCCACACTTGGTATTATTGTTCGGCTAGAGTGGTGTACTATGTTGAAAGACAAGCCCTGTTGGTGGGTTCCCTAGTATTAACATGCGTAAAGATGTAGTTCAAGAGGGTCCAGTGGTGCCTAACCCTGTCCCAAAAGAATGACATATCTTTGTTTCCCGCAACCAATTATGAAAGACCTTCCGAACAGCTCCTACAATACTCGTTCATGACATCACCCATTATTATAACCAGTTAAAAAAGTAAGTTCCAGCAAACAAAATAAGTGAGTTCCTCCATATGTAGTGGGCGTCTCTCTTATACAATAGGAATATTGGCTTGCCCGCTCTATACCCACCTGATTGACTCATGTAGAGACTATTACGTGTTCAAACTGAAGGCGAACTCTCCATTCAGCAAGTTTAATAGAGCGCTACACCTCTGTTAGCGATTTGATGAAGTAGAGAAAGTCCAGCGCTGCGCTGCGACTGCCCTCTGAATTTTTGGCATTGCTTGTGTCTTGGGTGTCTTGTCATCTTATTACATTGCCTTCCGATCCAGCCCAGATCTAGTTTCCAGTCCTGTTTTTGGGTGCTTGGCCACTATATTTCGCGTTAGACTACGCATTAAAAATGTTTTTACAAGCTTAATTACATCAATTCCGTCCAGTGAATGCCTTTAGTTGTAAAAAATGTCCAAGTTTGAAAACACAATGGTGTCATCGGAAAACTGTTATAAGCCACCTTAAATCGACAATGATAACTAATATAAAAGAGAAGGCCCTTCAGGCGTTTTCTAGTATTCGGAAGCAGACACAACAGTTCTTAATAAACTTAATCTTCATACCGCATCCCAAATTCTTGACACAATCATATTCACTGGATATCCCCCATGCTAAGGGGTAAGGTAAGGGTAAGGTAAGGTAACGTAAGGGTAAGGTAAGGTAAGGTAAGGTAAGGTAAGGTAAGGTAAGGTAAGGTAAGGTAAGGTAAGGTAAGGTAAGGTAAGGTAAGGTAAGGTAAGGTAAGGTAAGGTAAGGTAAGGTAAGGTAAGGTAAGGTAAGGGTAAGGTAAGGGTAAGGTAAGGGTAAGGTAAGGGAAGGTAAGGGTAAGGTAAGGGGTAAGGTAAGGGTAAGGTAAGGTAAGGTAAGGGTAAGGTAAGGGAAGGTAAGGGTAAGGTAAGGTAAGGTAAGGGTAAGGTAGGGGTAAGGTAAGGTAAGGGTAAGGTAAGGGTAAGGTAAGGTAAGGTAAGGTAAGGGTAAGGTAAGGGTAAGGTAAGGTAAGAGGTAAGGTAAGGTAAGGTAAGGTAAGGTAAGGGTAAGGTAAGGTAAGGTAAAAGGTAAGGTAAGGTAAGGTAAGGTAAGGTAAGGTCTAGGTAAATGGTGAGTATGGATTAAGCAAGATTGAAGTAAAGGATGAGGTAAGGTAAGGTTAAAGGTATGGTAGATGTAAGGATGAAAGGATGCTGGGTGTACAGGTGTTGATAAGGGTAAGTGGTATGTGTAGATGTTGTGGTAAGGTAAGGTAAGGTAAGGAGGTGGGTAAGGTGGGGGTGTAAGGAGTGTAGGAGCAGGGTAAGTAAGGAGAAAGGTAAGGTAAGGTAAGCAAGGTACAAAAGGGTAAGGTAATAAGGGTAAGGTGTAAGGGTGTACAAGGTAAAAGCAAGGGTAAGGTAGTAATAAGGGTAAGGCAAGGGTAAGTAGTATGGCAAGGTGTAAGGTGAAGGAGTAAGGCATGTAAGGTAAGGTAAGTGCAAGGGGTAGGAGGTAGGGTGGGTAAGGTAAGATTAGGTAAGGGTAAGGTAAGTATGTGGGGTGGCGGCAAGGTGCGGCGCGTAAGGTAAGGTAAGGTAAGGATGTACAAGATAAGGGTAAGGTAAGGGTAAGTGAGGTAAGGTGTAAGGTAGGGTGGGCGGTTAGGTGTAGGGGGCAGGTAAGCGGTGAGTAAGTGGGTAAGTAAGGTAAGGGTAAGGTAAGGCAAGGTGAGGGTATGAGTAGGTAAGTAAGAGTGAGGTAAGGGCAGGTAAGGGTAAGGCAAAGGGCAAGGTGTTGCAGGTATGGGTACAGGTAAGGGCAAGTAATAAGGTACAAAAGGTAAGGTAAGTGGCAAGGGTGAAGCGAGGTATAAGTTAAGGTAAGGTAAGTAAGCAAGGGTAAGGCGGTGGTTGCAAGAGGTGTTGCAAGGTGAGGGTGAGAGTAAGGGTACGTGGGTCAGGTGGGTTGGTGTGGTGCGTAAGGTAAGGGGTATGTATGGGTAAGGGTAAGGTAAGGGTGGGTGGGTAAGGGGTTGCAAGGTGAAGGTAAGGGTCAAGGTAAGGGTGTAAGAAGAGTAAGGTAAGGTCAGTAAGGGAGGCTAAGGAGTTGGAGTAGGGCAAGTGGGGCAAGGTAAAATGCGGCATAAAAAGAGATAAGGTGGGGTGCAAGGCAAGGTTAGTCAAGGTAAGAGGTACAGGTAGTGTGACAAGGGGTAGGGTAAGGTAAGGGTACAGTAAGTACAAGGTAGATAAGTAAGGAGGTAAGGGAGGGAGTAAGTGGAGTAAGTAAGGTATGCAAGGTAAGTGTAAGGTCAGGTAAAGTTAAGGGCAAGGTAAGGTAGGTTAATGCAAGATTAAGGTAGGGCGGGAGGGGCAAGGTGCAGGCGGTAAGGTGTAAGGTAGAGGGGTAAGGTGTAAGAGTAAGTAAGGTAAGGTGGTAAGGTAAGATAAGTAAGTAAGGAGAGGTATGGATAGGGTGTATGTAAGGTATGTGTGGCAAGTAAGGGCAAGGTGAGGGCAAGGTGTAAGGGTAGGGTGGGTACAAGGTGGGTGAGTAAGGTAGGGTAGGGTGGGCGGGAAGGCAAGGGCATGTGTAAGGTGGGGTATGGCAAGGCAGCAGGCAATGGAGTAAGGGAGGGTAAAGGGAGCGTGAGGGTGCAAGGTGGTGGTAAGGGTAAGGTAAAGGTAAGGGTAAGGTGGGTAAGGTAAGGGTATAAAGGTAAGGGTAAGGTAAGTAATGTAAATTGGTAAGGTAAAGGTGGGTGGTAAGCAAAATTGTTAAGGTAAGGTATGTGTGCAAGGTAGGTAAGGTAAGGAGGGTAAGGTTAAGGCAAGGTTAGGGTAAGTGTAAGTGGGCAGGAAGGTAAGCGGTACAATTAAGGTAAGGTGGGCAGGCGGGGCGGGGGTAGGGTAAGGTGAATTACAGGTAAGGAGTGCATGAGTATGGGATGCAAGGTAAGGGTGAGAGGGTCAAGGTAAGGGTAGGTATGTTAAGGTAAGGCAGGTCAAGGTAAGGGTAAGGTAAGGTAAGGTAAGGTGGGGTAAGGGTGGGCTATGGGTAAGGATGGTAAGTGGGGTGCGGTAAGGTGAAGTGTTAAGAGATTGAGGGTAAGGTAAGGTACGGCAAAGTAAGGTGAGAGGGTAAGGTAAGCAATGGGCAAGGGCTAGTAGAGTAAGAGTGGGTTAAGGTATGAGGTATTGGTAAGGTAAGGTAAGGTATGAGTGGAGGTAAGGGTATTGAGGGTGGAAGGTAAGGTAAGGGTGGATGGTAAGGTGAGGTAATGCTAAGGTGGGGTAAGGAAGGCAAGGTGTTGCAAGGTATAATAGCTAAGTGTAGAGGCGTGGCAGGTAAGGTAAGGGTAAGGTAAGGTGATGGGTATAAGGGGAGTAGGGTAAGGTAAGGTACAAGTAAGGATGGTGTGTAAGGATTAAGAGTAAGTGGCTCAAGGTAAGGCAAGGTAAGGTAAGGGAGTAAAATAAGGTAAGGTAAGGTACGGTAAGGGTACAGGGGTAAGGTAAGGGTATGTAGTAAGAGGTAAGGTAAGGTAAGGAACGAAGGGTAAAGGAAAAGTGGGAAAAGAGGGGAAGGTATGGTAAGGGGCAGGGTGCAAGGTGGGGTAAGGGCAGCAGGTAAGGCAAGAGGCAAGGAGGGTGTTGTAAGGGACAGGAAGGCATAAGTGGGTGGGTAAGGTAATGGGGCAGGTAAGTATGTGCAGCAAGTGCAAGTTAAGGGTAAGGTGTTAAGGCCTACAAGGTATGGCAGATAAGGTAAGTAAGGTGATTGGAAGGGAGGTAGATCAGGAATCCAAATTACAGTAAGGTAAAGGTAAAGGTACAAGGTAGGTAAAAAGGGTACAGGGTGGTGGGGTAAAAGGGTAAGGGTAAGGTGATGGGTAAGCAGTAAGGTCATGGGCAAAGCAGGTATGGCAAGTAAGGCAAGTACCCAAGGCAAGGTGAGGATTGGATAATTAAGGCTAAGGTAAGGTAAATTAAGGTATGGTACAGGTATGGTAAGGGTAAGGGTGGGTAAGGTAGGGTAGATCAGAGTAAGGCGTACAAGGTCAAGATTGGGGTGGGTAAGGTTGAGGTGGGTGGGATGAGATGCATGGAGCAGGTAAGGTGTGAGGTGTAAGGTAAGGGGTGCAAGTGCAGGTGGGTAAGTGGTACAAGAGATTGGTCAAGGTGGTGGGTGCAGATAAAAGGGCAAGGTAAGGGTGAAGGGTGTGGTGTTAAGGTGGTTGAGTTGCAAAGGTGAGTGGGTGTAAGGCTAAGGTAAGGTAGCAAGGGTAAGGTGAGGAGATGGTGTATGGGTCAGGGGTGGTATTAGGGGAGGAAGATGTACAGGTTGGGGTAAGGATTGTATTGTAAAGTAAGGTTGGTGTTGCAAGGGTATGGTGAGATGAGAGTTGGAGTGAGACAAGGGTAATGTAAGGTAAGGGTACACGTAAGGGTGGATGGAGGGCTGGGTGGGTGGGGTGGGTAAAGGTGAGTGGGAGGTGGTAAGAGTAAGGTGGGGTAGGTAAGGTAAGCTAAGGTAATTGGGTAAGGGTAAGGTACGGTGCTAAGGGTATGAGGCAAGGTGTTGCAAGGGTGTAAGTAAAGAGTGTGCAAGAGGTAATGGGTAAGGTAAGGTAAGCGGGGCAAGGGGATGTAAGGTAGGTAAGGTGGCGTGAGTGCAAGGTGGGTGGGTAAGGTGAGGGTAAGGGTGAGTAATGGCAAGGGTAAGGTAAGTTAGCTAAGGTAAGGTCCAAGGCAATGGGTAATGTAAGGTAAGGTAAGTAAGGAGTAAAGAGGCAAGGTAAGCAAGGGTAAGGTAAGGGTAGAGGTAATGGGTATGGGTAAGGGTAAGGTGGAAGGGTAAGGCAAGGCATGGGTAAGAGTGAGGGTAAGGTAGGTAAGGTGCGGCGGGGAAATGAAGGTAAGTGGTACAGGTGCTGGGTGGTAAAAGGTGGGGCAATGGCGGGGTGTGGGGGCGTAAGGTAGGTCAAAGGTAAGGTATGGGCGTAAGGGATTAAAAGGATGTAAGGTGGGTGGGAGCGTAAGGTAGCTAAGTGTAAGGTAAGGTACAAGATGTAGGGTGGGCAATGGTAAGGGCGGGTAAGAGGGTAGAGGGCATGAGTAGGGTAAGCAAGGGAAGCAAGGTAAGGGTAAGATGGGAGTAAGAGGGGGGTAAAGGTAAGGGTATGGCAAGGGAAGGTACAAGGGTGAGGAAAGGTGAGCAATGGTATGGCAAGATAAGGTGAAGTGGGGAGTAAATGAGGTGCTGAAGTATGCAAGGGTACAGGAAGGGTACAGAATTGGGGTGAGGTAAGGTATAGGGTAAGGGCAAAGGGTAAGGGTACAGGTAGTAAGTAAGGTAAGGGTGGTGGGAGGGTAGGGTGGGAGTAGGAGTGGGGTGCAAGGTAAGGGTGGTAGTGGTATGTACAAGGCAGGGGTAATGGAGTGGGTGGCAAGGGTGAGAGGGAAGGCCAGTAAGGTGAGAGGTAAGGGGGTAAGGGTAGGGGTAGGGTAAGGTAAGTGGGTGAGTGTGTGCAGGGGGCGGGTAAGGGCAAGGGTTAGGGTAAGGGGGTTACAGGGTAAGGGTAAGGGTAAGGCAAGGTAGTAAGGGCAAGGAGGGAAGGTACAAGCAAGGATTGAGCAAGGGTAAGGTATGTGCTGCAAGGGTAATGGTAAGGCAAGTAAGGTGAGGAGTGGGTAAGGCAAGGGCAAGGTAAGGGTGAGAATGTAAGGCATAAGGAAGGTGCACAGGTATGGAGTGGTGAGGGTGGAGTAGGTAAGGGTAAGAGTGGGAATTAGGGTAAGGTAAGGTAGCTAAGGTATGGTGGAGGGTAAAAGTAAGGTAAGGTAAGGGTAAGGGTAGTAAGGTAAGGTACAAACGATCAAAAGGTGTAAGGTAGATGGATAAGGGCGTAGTAAGGTGGGTAGGGTAGTAAGTGGTGTGGAGTTAAGGGTGGGTAGGGGTCAAGGGTGGGAAGGTAAAGGGGTAGTAAGATGGGGTGGGTGGGGTAAGGATGGGTTAGTGGTTGGGTGGGGGTGTTGCAAGGTGGGCGGGTGGGACGGGATTGGTGAGGTAAGGTGGCGGTGTGGCGTGGCGGCATTGAGATTGATGGGTAAGGTATGTTAGCTGCTGGAGAGTAAGGTGTTGATTAGGGTGTAAGGATTGAGCATTGAGGTGTGGGGTGAGGTGAGGAATTGAGGATTGAGGCAGGGTTAGGGACGGGTAGCAAGGATTGAGAGGTAAGGTGTGCAGGTGAAGGTAAGGGTAAGTTGCAAGGCAGTATGCAAGGTAAGGTAGGGCAATGGTAAGGGCAAGGTGAGGGAGAGGATTGGATGGAAAGGGTAAGGGTACAAGAGTAGTGCAAGGGTGGCATAGTACAAAAGGCATGGGAAGGCAAGTGGGTAAGGTACAGTACAGGCGGCGGCACAGGATAAGGTAAGGTACAGTGGGGTGGGCAGGTATAAGGGTAAGGGTAAGATAAGGTAGACAAGGATGAGGGTAAGAGGTAAGGGGGCGTGATCAAGATGAGGTGAGTAGGGTAAGGGGTAAGGGTGGTAAGGGGATGAATTGGGTGGATGGATGCAGGTGGGTGTGAATAAGGTGGGTGGAGTGGTGGGGGGCAGGGTAAGCAGGTAAGGTGTAAGGTGCAAGGATAAGGTGGGGTGGGGTGGTGGGTGCAAAGTGGGGAGTAAGGAGTGGGAGCAAGGCAGGGTGGACAGATGCTGGGTGGGGTGGGGGTGAGGAGTGAGGGTAGGGTGGGGTGGGAGTGGGGTAAGGGTGAAAGGGTCAAGATGAAATTGAGGTGGAGTAGGGTAGGGTGAGTGAGGTGGGAAGCTAGGGTGGGGTGGGTGAGGGTGCAGTGCAGGTAAAAGGATGGTTGCAAGGCAAGGTGGTAAGGGTGAGAGGCATGGTAAGGTAAGTGGGTGGAAAGGGTCAATTAAGAGGGTAAGGTGGCAAAGGCAAGGCAGGCAAGGGGTAAGGAGGGCAAGTGGGGTTATAGAGTAGGTAAGAGTGTAATGAAGTGTAAGGTAGGTGTGTAAGGGTAAGGGGTGAGGCTAGGTAAGGTAAAGAGGTAGTAGGCAAGCAAGTAAAAGTATGGCAAGGTAAAGGATGTAAGGTAAGGTAAGGTAAGGTAAGGAGGCAGTAAGAGTACAAGTGGGTAAGGGAGGGTATAATGAGGAATAAGGTAGGAGTAAGTATAAAAGGGTAGGTAAAGGCAAGGAGCAAGGTAAGGTACAAGTGAGATTGCAAGGTAAGGGAGTGTGAAGGCAGGTGCAGTGAGGGTAAGGAAAGGTGTGGCAAGGTAAGGGTAAGGTAAGGCAAGGTGTGGGTGGGGTGGGTAAGGAGGCATGGGTAAGGCAAGGTGGAGTACAAAAGGGTGGGTGGGGGGGCAGGGTTGCAACGGCGGCGGGCGTAGGTGCGCGCAAGGAGCCAGCAAGGCATGGCAAGCAAGGTATGTAGGTGGAGTAGGTCAAGAGGTTGCAAGCATGGGTGAGGTAATATAGTGTATGTAAGTGGAGGGAGGGTGGCTGGTGCAAAGGTGAGTAAGGGCAAGGTGGTGGGGTAAGGCAAGGGCTTGCGATGAGGCAAGGGTTGCAAGGCAAGGCAGGTAAGGTGAGGAGTAAGGAGTAAGGTAAGGGTAGGCGTAAGGTAAGGAGGGTGAGCAAGGTGCAGTAGGGGTAGGTAAGGTGTGGTGTATGCAAGAAATGGAGTGGTATGAGGGTGGAGGTAAAGGGGGCGGTAGGCAAGGTGTAAGGTATGGGCGGGGAGGGTAAGGTGGAGTAAGGTGGCAAGTGAGGAGTGCAAGGTAAGGGTATGGGATAAGCAAGGCAAGGGTCAAGGGTAAGCAGGGTGGGCGGTAAGGTAAGGGGGTGGGTGAGGTGAATTAGGTGAAGTGGGTGTCAAGGTATGGCAAGTGTGAGAGGGTGTGTATGTAATGGTAAGGGCAAGGGGCAAGTGGGGGTAAGGAGGGTAAGGGCAAGGGTAAGGTAAGGCATGTGGCGGTGTAAGTGCAGTTAGGGGGGAGGTAAGGATTAGGGTAGGCGTAAGGTGAAAGCAAGGTAAGGTGATGGGGTAGTTGAAAGGGAGTATGGGAAGGATGAGGTGAGGAGGGTAGATGTATGGGTAAGTAAGGGTAAGGTAAGGGGTAAGGCAGGATGGAGAAATTAAGGTGAGTGGGTAAGGTAGAGGTGAGGGGGGTGGGAGGCAGATGAGGTAGGTGGAGGTATAAGGGGTAGGGCAAGTAAGGGTAGGTGGGGGTAAGGGTATAGGAGTAAGAGTGCAAGGTAAGGTAAGGTAGCTAGCAAGGTAAGGTATGGGTAAGGTACAAGGGGTAAGGAGTGAAGGTAGGTAAGGTAAGGCCAAGGTAAGGGTAAGGTAGGTGGGTAAGTCAAGGTTGGTATGGTAAGGGTTGCAGTAAGAGTAAGATTAAGGCAATGGCAATGGCGGGGTGGGTAAGGAGGTATGGGTATAAAAGGTATGGGTATAAGGTAAGGGGTAAGGCAGCGAAGGGTAAGTGGGGGTGTGGAGGGAGTACAAGGTACAAAAGTAGTGGCGGGAAGAGTGTAAGGGGGTGTGAGGGTGGAGAGATAAGGTAAGTGGGTGGAGGTGTGGGGTAGTAAGTAAGGTAAGGTAGATGCGGTACAATGGGTAAGGCACAATGGGTAGGTAATGCGGGCGGTAAGGTACAGCGGGTTTAGGTAATGAATGAGGGGTTAGGTCATGGTGAGAGAGGAGTGAGGTGTGGGATAGGTAAGTATAGAGGTAAGTAAATGAGCTGTACAAAAGGTACAGCATGAGCGGCTAAGGGTGGGAGTATGTGAGGCAAGGGTAAGGTATGTCAAGGTAAGAGTGGGGTAAGGCAAGGGTAAGGTAGGTAAGCAAGGGGTATATAAGATAGATATGAGGGTAGTAAGTGCGGTGGTGGGGTGGGCACAGACAAGATGCAGAGAAGGTAAGATATGTAAAGTAGAAGGTATGAGGAATTAATGCAAGGTAGGTAAGGTGAGTTGTATGGGGTAAAGTGTTATAGCTGGGGTAGGTACAGATTGCAATGGTCATGAGGTAAGATGTGGGTAAGGCAAGGTGAGGCAAGGGGTAAGGGGCAAAGGAGTAGGTAGGTGGTGTATGGTATAAAGGCTTGCTGAGATGTGAGTGAGGTATGAGAAGGTAAGTTACATTGTAAAGGTGAAAGGATGAGATTGGTGGTGAAGTGATTGAATAGTGGTGTGGGATGGAGTAAGTGGGTAGGGTGAGAGGATTGCATTAGGGTAGCAGGTGGGGTGCAGGAGTGCTGGTCAAGGGGTGGTAAGAGTGAAGTTAGCAAGATTAGGGCATGTAAAAGAAGGGTAGGTGGGTAGTGGTGAATAAGGTAAGAGAGGAAGTGGTGTGAGGTGCAATTAAGGTGATGAGGGTGGAGTGGGATGCAGTAAGATGAGATGAGGGTGGGAGTGGGGTGGGTAGGAGGGCAAGGTGAGGTGAGAATTGAGGGTATGGGTAAGTGAGTGGAGTGAAGGGAATTGAGTAAGGAGGTAAAGGGTCAAGATGAAGACCAAAAGGTGAAAAGAGGTGAGTGCAGTGGGTCAGGTAAGGTCAAGATGGGGTGAAATTAAGAGTGGTGGTAAATGGGAGGAGTGAGATGGGGTTAACGTAGGGTAAGGGTGAATGTAAGAGTACAGATGGGGTGGTGGGTGGAGTGGGGGTAAGGTGGGTGGGGAGTGAGGTGGATGAGGTGCAGGGGTAGGGGCAAGGGGTAAGGTAAGGGTGGGATAAATGTGGGGTAAGTGAGGTGGATGGAAGGTACTAAGGGCCAGTGGTGGTGGGCGAGTGAGGTCAGGTGGGTCAAGGTCCAGGTTAAGATGGGGTGAGTAAGGGAAATGGTAAAGGGTAAAGAATGAGTGAGGTGAGTGATGGGAGTGGGTAAAAGGGTTCAGGTAAGAGATGGGGCAGAGATAAAGGTGGGTAAAGAGAGGATGGGGTGGGAATTAAGGTAAAGGTGGTGAGGTGCTGTGAAGTGGATGTATGGAGTGAGATGAGGTGGGGATGTATGTGGCTGATAAGTGAGGTAGAGGTCAAGATTGAGGGGGTAGGTAAGGTGGTGGTGGGTAATTAGGTGAGTGAAGTGGGGGTAAGAGAGAGAAGGGGTAAGGGTGAGGGTAGGTGGGTGAGGGTGAGGGTGGAGAGGTGCAAAGATGGGGTGGTAAAGGTGAGGGTGGGTAAAATGAGTGAGGGATGGGTAGTGGGGTAAGGAGTGTAAAGGATGTTGGGGTGAGGTGAACAGGATAAAGTGCGTAAAGTGCAGGAGTGAATTGAAGTTGAGGGGTGAGGAATGAGTGAGGTGGGTAAGGGAATTAAGAAGTGTTGCAGGAGGTGATGAAGGTGTAGGTAAAATTAGGTAGAGGAATGCTAAAGAATTGGGTAGGAGCGGAAGGTGGGTGAGGTCAGGATAAGGTAAAGAGGTGGTGGGGTGGGGTAAAATTAAAGGTGGGTAAGTCAAGTGAGTGCAAAGGTAAGGGAATAAGTGGAGTAGGAGTCAGATAAGGGTAAAGATGAAGGGGCAGGTAAGGTAGGAGGTAGGGTAAGGTGGCAAAGGCTGGGGTGGTAGGTGGGTAGTGAAAGTGAGGTGGAGTGAGGATAAAAGGTAGTGTAGGTAGAGGTAAGGGAGTGGGGTGAGAGTGGGGTGGGGATTAAGGTGGGTCAGGTGGATGTAAGGTGGGTAAGGAGTGAATTGGTGGAGGTGGGAGGTGGTGGGGTGGGGTGAGGGTGTGGTCAAGATGAAGTGAGGGGTGGAGTGGTGGGGTGGGTAAGTGGGTGGGTGTGCAAGGTAGTGAGGTAAGGTGAGGTGGGGGTGAAAGTAAGGTGTAAGGTAAAGGCAAGGTGGAGTGGGGTAATGGGTAAGGTGGTGAGTAAGGGTAAAGGAGTGGGGAGGAGTAAGGTAAGGTGGTAAGGTGGGTAGTGTGAGATGGGTAAGGGTGGAGTGGGTGGGTGGATTGGGTGGGGGTGAATTAGGGTGGAGGTCAAGGTGGAGTGAAAGTTGGAGGTGGGTGAGGTGGGTGGGGTGGGTCAGGTAAGTGAAGGATAAAGGTGGGGGAGGTAAGGTGGGGTAAGGTGGGAGTGAGGGTGAGGTGAGGTGGGGTATGGGGCAAGGATGGGTGGGGTGGGAGTGGGGTCAAGATGGGAAGGTAGAGATTGGATAAATGAATGAGGTCCAGTGAGATGCACAGAGTGAGGTCAAGTAATGCTAAGGTGGGTGGAAATTGGGTAAAGATGAGGTGTTAAAGACAGGAGTGGGTGGAGTAAGGGAGAGAGAAAGACAAGTAGGTGATGGGTAGTGTAGGGTGGGGTGAGGTGAGATGAGGAGGTAGTGAGAGGTTGTGAGTTAAGGAAGGGGGGGATGGGGATGAGAGGCAGGGGAATGATGAGTCAGGTGAGAGGGGTGGTGGAGTGCATGAGGGATTGATTAGGGGTGGATGGGAAGGGTGAGGTTGAGGGTGAGGTTGAGGATTGAGGGTGGGTAGTTGGGCTAGAAAGGAGATTAAGATGAGTAAGAATAAAATCTGAGATGAGGCAGAGTGGTGCAGGTGGATTGAATTGAGATGAGGGTGAGGGTGGGTATTAGGAGTGAGATTGAGGGTGAGGTGCAAGGTTGGGGAATTGAGGTGGATGAGGAATTGAGGGTGGTAATGAGGGTAAGGAATTGAGATGCAGGAGGGAACAAGGTGGGAATTGAGGGTGGCAAGTAAGGGGGTATTAAGGGTAGGGGTGGGTGGGTGGGTGAGCTAGGGTGGGGTGGAAGGTGGGATTGAGGTGGGTGGGTGGGGTGGGGTGGGGGTTGAGATGGGTGGGGAGAGTTGAATTGCTAGGGTGAGGATGAGAGAGGATTGTGGTGAGGGTGAATTGAGATTGAGCAATTGGGGATTGTAGGGTGGGGTGGGTGGGTGGGAATTGAGGTGGGGTGGGTGAGTGGGATCAAGGGGTGCAGGGTGAGGGTGAGATGCCAAGGGTGAGGCAGGGTGGGGAGACAGGATGCAAGGTGGGTGAGGTGAGATGAAATGGGAGTGAGGAATTAAGATGAAAGAGGGTAAGGGTGAGGTGGGGTCAAGGTGGGGTTAAAGGTAATTAAAGATGGAGTAAGGAGCAAGGGCAGGGTGCAGGTAGGTGGATGAATAAGTAAGGTGGTACAAGAGGGTAGGTGAGACTGAGTGCAGTGAGTAAAGGAGTGGGTAGGGGTGGAGCAAGTGGTGGGGGAGTGCTAAGGTAAGGGGTGAGGATGAGAGTAAGGTGGGAGTAAAAGAGGGGTGAGATTGAGAGTGCAAAGGTGGGGTGGGGTAAGGTGGGGTGAGAGTGGGGTAGTTGGGGTGAATTAAGGTGGTGGGGTAAGTGAGGGTGGGTAAGATGAGGGTGGTGTATGAGTGGGGTAAAGGGATGGGAGCAGGGTGGGTGGGTGGGGTGGGGTGAGGTTCAGCTAAAGGTGCAGAGTAAGGTGAGAGTGAGGTAGGTAGTGGGTGTGGGTGGAGGGTGGTGGGTGAAGGTTAGGGTACTGGGTGGGGTAAGAGGTGGGTGAGAGCATGGGTGAGTGAGATGAGGTAGAT